ACGTTTTATTTAATATTGTCTAAAAAGAACAAGCATAACTTTAATGTCAGCTAGGGTCTCAAAATCCAATGCCTTCATAGTATTTCTTTGAATTTTTACAGTTCTTGGTATTCATGAGAAATTTTCAACTGAGTTTTCTGTCTCCCTACTCCACAGTCTCCCAAATGGCCCCATCTTTTCTACAACAGATTTTTTTTCATTTGAACTATGCAAACTCAGCATTTGAACGTAGCCCATTTACCTTGACTTCCCTAAAACCAATCACACAGGTACTGGCATATGCCATGTTATACTAAATAGATGGAAGTGACTTCAACAAATCAAACATTCCACTGGGCATCTGGCAGCTTTGTTAGGAGCCTGTAAGCCCCCATGCCACCGGGATACCCTAACGCTGTGCTCTCCTCGTTCTGGAGCTTGCCTCACAGGGACCTTGCCTGCTCTTTCCGTGATGATCATCTCCGTTTTTGCCACAGGGGATACAGGTCCTTCGGCCAATCTATCTTCCCTTGCCCTGAGACTTGTTACTGACATCTGTGCTGAGTTCTCTCTCCTTATGAACAATACAGACAGCTCTGGATTGGGTTTTTTACCTTGAAGACAGTCTTCACTTCCCTATCCCCACCCCCAAACCATCACCAGCCATTTCTCTAATTAGAAGAAATGAGCAGAGAGGATTTTCTATTGATGGGAATCTTGCCACTCTGCACAACCCAACTGCCCTTCCCCCTGCTCCAAGGGAATTTTTCCTCAGAAGGCAGAAATGCCCAGACAGCTTGGGTTTTAAATAAAAATTTTATTTCCCCACACTACACTGGGAACAAGTAAAATAAGCTCTTTTAACTGTTTCATAAAACATAATTCCATTTTAGCTTATTTTAATCTCAATTTTCTTTTGTTTCTATAGAAACAAAGAAATCAAATCCCAGCATTTAGTGTTCACACATGTGAATTTTCAATTTATGAAATGGTCTTTCTCTATTGTTTTAATGTCTAGCAAATACAAAAGTGTTGTGGAAACCAAGTTATTTATCATAAAATCTATAATAAAAATACTTTCACCCCCCAAGAAAAACAACAATAAGGGAAATTAAACTATATTTTATAATGTTCCTGAAACTATTAACACCATGAAGTAGCAAAGTTTTGGAAGATGGTACTTTGTTTAGGCAACTTGATTTTGTGCCCTATTATTTTTAAATACTAACTTCTTCTTTAATAATGACTTTTTACTACCTGATTTGTTATTCTTGCAGCATCTTAGAATGAAAAAGAAATTACCCTTGCACCCTTCACAATGGAAATATTGTTTACTTAAAAGCTCAATGTCACTTGAGTTAGAATCTCAATCTCATAATTTATACAATAAATGACTTCAGGTAAATTGTTGACTTGCTATGGGCCTCAGTCTCTTCATCTGTAAGAAAGGGGCAAAATCTAGCTTCTAAAGCTATTGCGGTGATGGGGACTTTAACATCATCTTATATAACCCTCTGGACAACCCTCTGATAATTCACGTTGTGGCATAGTAAATAAAGCCACTGCCTGTGATGCTGGTACCCGACATGGGTATCAGGTCAAGTCTCGGTGTTCCACTTCCAATGTAGCTCCTGCTAACAGCCTGGGAAAAGCAACAGAAGATGGCCCAACTGTTTGCGTCCCCGCCACTCACATAGGAGACTCAGATGAAGCTCCCTGCTTCTGTCTTCAGCCTGACCCAATCCTGGCCAGTTGTGACCATCTGGGATCTGGGGAGTGAACAAATGGATGGATGAATGTGTGTGGGGGGGGGGGGTGGGTGTGTGGGTGTGTGTGTTTGTGTGTGTGTCCCTTTTTCTCTGTAACTCTGACTTTCAAATAAATAAATATGTCAAATTGTCTGGTAAGTAAATGAAGATTCAGGGGTTGGGGGTAACTAACTTGTTCAAACAGTAAGTGGAAGAACTGGGATTCAAACCCAAGTCTCTGATTCTAAATCATGTCCTCTTAACCTGTGTGCTTGATATATGACAGTAAGGTGGTGGGGGCTCACTTATTTAGTTCATCTTATCTACCTTTTTGAAAAGCAGTAGTTCTCAAATTGTGGTTCCCATACCTGTGACAGCAGCAGCAGCATCTGGGAACGTGTTAGGCATGCATGCCTCACCCGAGGTGTGTTGCACCAGAAACGCTGGGGATGAGGTCCAGCAATCTGTTCTAACAAACCCTCAGATAAGTGTAGTACATGCCTATGCTTGAGGACCACTTGGCACTACTGCACCCTACAAAAGGAGGAAAAAGTGGGAGGATAAAAATTAATATGAGAACAGAAAGATATAAGTAAACATGATACAGTTCCTGATAAATGCAATAGAAGAGATCAAAGAAGTGCAAAGGGAAGTGAAAGGGCCAAGTTTAGCTCAGATCGAACACTGTTGAAGCTAGAGCAGAGCTTTGAAGAATGGACAAGATGGGAAAAATGAAATTGAACATGGAGGTTGCAGGGTGAAGGGAATCTTGAAGGACAACAGCTGTCTTGTGCTGCAGCACAAGAAAACTAGGCAAAATGAGAGGTGTCGGATGGAAGATGTGGGCTGGAGCCCAGCACAAGTGCATGGGGAAATGCTGCAAGCAGTCAGGGAGGGTTCAGGGAGGGAACAACAGAAAGAAATCTTAATCTTAATTCCGAGAGGAATCCAATGACAATGGAGGATGGGGTCGTGAAGGGAGACACAGTGGCAGGGAGCCATGTTCAGAGTCTTGAGAGCCCACCCTGGCCACAGCCTGAACCCTTGGTGGAACTGATCTCACACTGTATGTGGGTGTGAGAATCAGCAGTGTGGACAGCACACGTGGAAGAATGGCCAAAAAGTAACCCCTTCATCCTCTACCATGGGATCCTTGATAGTTTCCTTTTAACAGTGGTCTGTTTGTGATTATCCAACTCATACTCTTTGTGTAGAAATTTAAAAATTTGGAGAACTTTAAAAATGATAGTAGAATTCACTTAAACTTACAGCAAGGTTAACAATCTAGTGCAAATCATTTCCAAGGTATGTATGAGTCTACGACACCTGAGTACCTACCCACACATATATGGAAATCAGACCTTAGTTTAACGTTCTTCTTTTCCACATCACTGAACATAGTGGGCACTTTCCCTGGGATCAAAAATTATTTGAAAATGTAAATTTGTTGCCTGCATAATGTAGCCATGGACATTCTGCAGCATACTTTGTGCTCTGGAAAACTGTCCTTCTACACAAAGCAGCACCTACCATGCTAAATTTTTAATCATCACCATAGGTGGGTCCTTAACAAGATGTAATTAAGGGTCATACTGTAGGGATATATCCTAATCTATCCTCATCTGACATCATGAGATCAGCCTCAGGAATGTGGTGCTGTTAAATCAAAGCTTATGAACATATCAATCTTTCTATAACCTCACTGGCATTAAGTACATTTACTTTATCTTGATGCACACTTTTTATTTTTAAAAAATGTTAAAACTATGTAATACAACCACTACACAGCCTTGTTAGGGTAGCCTGATAGTGACTTGGCTGACATTTATAGAATATAAATAATCCACAAAAAAACACTCTTCCAATACAGACATTGTCGGTCTGTGAGTACCAACACATGCTGTCAGTAGCTATCAATAAATATCCCAAACTATGAGAAACTGCAGAGTGAAATGCCTGAAAGACCAAAGGAAAATCCCTTGAGAACTAGGAGACAACAAATAAATCTGGCTTCTGGACCTACAGCAGACTCATTTATTAATTCATTCATTTTAGTAATATACAGGGTGATAAATTTGAAATAACATACATAAAGGGCTTCATTGATTATGAACAGAACATTGGGTTCAGACAAGATTTTCTTAATGCATGAGAGGTTAAGAATGATCGCTTTTGATGTTAATTGGAAGAATTCTCTGTAGGGTAGGTGAGCTCTTGACAAATGAGTTCTCAGTTAATTTCAGGGCATAGCAAGTGAGTGGTACACTCTTTAAGAACTAGTTTTCCTCTCATTTATCAATACTGTGCCCTATAATGCTATATTTAAAATTGCTTTCACTTGTGATTACTTTGTTAAAAAATTAAATTCAGAGTGAGGTCAAGTATACAGCCACTTTGTTTTTCATTGTTAATGAATAGCTTACAAAAACAGAAAACTTACTGTTCCTCCCTGAGTTGGCCGGAGAAACTCCTACTAAGGCACAACTCAGCTCACAACATCATTCCCTCTACAAAGACTTCTCAGCCACTCCCAGGTTAAATTAGTCAGGATTTTCTCTCTGATCCTTCAATTCCTCCCATGTGTGTCACCACATCATCCTGGACTCATGCTGCCATGTTGGCTTCCCCAGCTGAACTGTGAACCCTCAAGCCAGCAGTCGTGGGTTTGTCTGTGCCTAGAATGTGGCACAGCACCCATCATCAACACTTCCTTGCTGAATGAATGGATTGATGGACAGAGGCAGTCACAGCAGTGGGGCAGGGATATACAGTATCACTTTGGCAGTGTAATAATCTTAGCAAAAAAAGATGATGAGGATGTGATATAAGATGATTATAGCAGGAAACAATGATGTTAACGCTTGCATATTACCAAAGTCAGTGGAAATTTATTCTATAGAAACACAAGGAAGTAAGAACAACTTTGTAGAAACTGTTGATTGCCTACCCAGTGTCATTTTGTACTTTCTTCCTTACAAATAGATCTCTTGTTTATCTGAGTAGCACCATGTCCATATTTTAGAAGTATATTTCTCTGTACCCCGTGTACATCAGAGTCGTCATAAGACACTGCTCTGGTCCAGTCTATGTAAGGAGAAGGCCTTGGGAGATGGTTTCAGGGAAGCTCCCCATAATGGGTGGCAAACTCAGCACCTGCCCTTTGGTTTAGGGGCTTCCACCCTCTCACTGTCTGAAGTGGAGAAGCAGTGGCAGGAGTTCTGGCTACTGTCTTGAGAACACAGGCAGGAACTTCATAGCAAGTGTCACAAGTACCTTCCATCACTCTGTCCATGCTCCAAGTGTGGCAGACATTGTGAGATGGAATTACTGGAGTGGGTACTTCCTGGTTCTGGAGATCAAACAAAGCTGTAGAGATCAAGAAAATGAGGAAATTTTGAGGTTTTAACACCAGGAGAAATGTATTTACATATTGAAACAGCATGGCTGAAACAAAGGAGAAAGGTTAGAAGAGCAGGCTCACAGAGGCAGTTGATGAGCTTTGCCTTCACATCATGAGCCTGAGCAAATCCAGGGACAAAAGGAACTCTGGGAAAAAGTTACAGTGGCTCAGCCTTGAAGGTGCAGGAGACAACTGGGGTAACAAGTGTAGGTGAGTGCCTAATGATACAGTATCAGGCAAAGAGAAGGTGATAAAGGAGAGAATCCTAAGCTAGTACCCTAAAGCAGCAGAAAAGGACTCATAAAAAATGGAAAGAATACAATCCTAGGGCAGCAGAAGGCAAAGAAGGGAATTTGAAGACAGCCAAGGGTGCAAAGTGGCAGAGGGGAGGAAATAGTCAAGCTGTCTTGGCACTGGGACAATCCCAGGCCGCTGTGCAGCATTCAACTTTCTCACTTTCCTACAGCCTGTGCATACGTTCACACCCTTACACCTCCACCTTTCCCTCTTTACTGGATACTAAAACTTGCTAAGACCAGCATTGCTTCACACATTAGCCCAGAGAGTTTTTTACATTTGCCTCAACCTATATTCTATATCTGACCAAGTAAGCCATCTCAGGCTCCCACTGCACCCCTCCTGTATTGACTCATGCAGTAAGATACTGTGGAGTATGTAATTGTGTGGAAGAAGGATTCAGAGAACTCTCAAGGGTGTTATCCAGATCCTCCAAAGTCTGCATTTTGGACTGGCACCTGAAACTATGAGTATATAAAGCTGTCATTATCATCAACATCGTTTTATAAATTTATTAACTGATGGCAGTTTTTCTAGTGTCAACTATGTGCCAAATATTTTATACACATTATTTCACTAACTTCTTCTTACAACACTGTCCCCATTCACAGATGGTAAATTGATAGTCAAAGATTTGTAGTGACTTGGGCATGTCAGAGAGCTACGGAAGTGCAGGAGCAGTTTGATCACAATGTTCAAACTCTGAATCACTATGATTCATTGACTTTTGTATTATTATGAACACTATAATTTTAAATATATTTTAAAATACTCTGCTCCTCATAATGACCCAGTTATAATGAGTATAATTATTTTTCATTTTTCTTATTAATTTTACTCATAGGAAACTGAGCCACAGAAATACGCCCTCATCACTCAGCCAGTAATGGACCAAGTCAGTATTCAAGCCCAGCTATGCTACTCTAAATGCCAATCTCCTGCCTCTTTGAATTATTTGACACTGAAACATAAATCCTATTCATAAAATCTAGGCTCTAGGGTCCTGACCAGGTACCTGTATTACAACCATTTTGAGTGAGCAATTTTTTTTTTGCTTTTAGTCATCTATCATAATATATTCTCCAAAGGATTCTGAAATCCAGTAATCCACCTTAGTGGTAGATCAACCAAACTGTTTGGTACAAGGCTCTGAGGTTGATCATTTTTAGAACCAAAAGCAGAGAAAACCATTTTTGGTTTACTATTTTGAGGTTCTGAAATGTTCAGTTGCATTTGTTCCCTTTGGTCCGCAGCCAGAAACAGAGGCATAAGGGCTCAAATACCAAATGAAAGGGTGTTCTCACAGTGTTTCTGGCCAGAACCAGAGTGGAAATATCGGAAAGCTCACAAGCAAAGCTGTTCTTCTGAGATTTCCATACCAAACCTGCAAAATAAAATGCTTGCAAAAGGAATATTTCAGAGCAGTTATCTGATACAAGTTCTTACTGCAAACCCCACCCAACCTGACTTGGAATTTTGTACATTGAGTGCATTCTTCCCAGCCCTGTCCACTCATCCATCCCAAAACAATGCATCCATGCAGATGTACCTTCTTCTACTCATGCCTGAAGGGGTAGGTGATTCTTGGACGAATACACCTGAACCAGAGATAGACTTTTCCATTTTGCTTTTTGTTCCCAGGAAGATGTATTAGAAGCCAAACATTTCCCTTACTCTAGGAGTACATACCAGGCAGATTATGTTGCCAGAAAATCTTTGTGATTATATTCAATTTCCCAAAAGCTCTTAAACTGTTGACTTAGGGGAAATGGCACTATATTACAACACATACTTCATTTATTTTTGGTTCATTTATATAAATTTCTACCCAGCTTCTTTTTGACTAGTAGATTAATTTGGATGTAGGCATACTTGGATTTCTAATTTTATCGTATTCCATTGATTTCAAGGGTAAGGTTTGATCTCTTAAAATCTAATTGCCTTTCCTTTAACAATTACTGAACTAAGAATTTCTACTGTTTAGTTATTCATTTTATTTCTAAAATGGTGGTATAAGTCCTTTCTAAATGATTTGTGTTCTGTTCTCCTAAGTTTGAGCAGTTAAAGTAAAAACTAAAGTATTTAAACAGATTCATTTCAAATATGACAGCCCATTTTAACTTCAATTCAAGAAAAGATAAGGTATCATTCAAGATGATCAAGAAGCTTGGGTCTTTTATTGTTTTTTGCTTGTTTGTTTGTTTGAGAGGCAGAGAGACAGAAAGCTCCCATATGCTGGTTCATTCCTCAAATGCCTACAACAACAGGAGAAGGGTGGGAGCCAAAGTGAAGAGCTGGGATCCGGGAACCAGGAACTCAATCCAGATCTCCCACGTGAATGGCAGGAATCCAATTATTTAAGCCAGTATTGCTGCCTGCTCAGCTCTGCACTGGTAGGAAGCTGGAGGCAGGAGCAAGAGCCAGAAATTGAACCCCAGTCCTTTGATGTAAAGCCTCAAGCACTGGGCAAACATGGTAATGCAGTGGTCTTCATTGTATTGAGAATATCCTTGAGAGAGGTTACAGAATCATAGCTCAGAGACTGTACAAAGAGCAATCCCTAAAATGTGTAGCAACAACCATCAATAACTGCCATTTTCAAAACAATTTAGAAGTCAAATGCGTTTGATAAATAGTGAACTCAATAATGTTAGCCAGGTGTGTTTCTTCAGGTCCTCTCAGAAGCTTGAGGTGCCAGTTGTCCCATTAACAGTCTGGAAGGGAGCACAGGTGCAGCTGCCAGACATGACTGGCGCAGTTTTTCCAGAAAGCATCCCATGGGGCTGCTGAGCCTTAGAATCCACTTTGGGGAGATCTGAACCAGAACAATCAAGGCCCAAGTGGGGACAGAAAATATGTGAGCCTCCTCTGAGCACTATGCTGGTGTCTTAAATCCATCATTATGTTTCATTCTGGCAACAATCCTGCATGATGTACAGGAAATGCTATTTCTAGTTTGCAAATGAGGACACTAAAGTTCAATGGATTTATCATAGTTATTGACCCCAGCTGCTTGTAAACAACACAGCATCCAATTGCTAACCTATTGAACCCCAATCTCAGGAGTAAGGCCCAGGTGTACACGTGTAAACTCAACAGACAATGCTTGTTGGTTAATTACGTTTGGAAACCACTGAAACAAACTATGGCCTAATGGCCATATTTTTGAGTGGAAGAGCTGAGACTCTGAATTCCATCTTCTGACCTCCAAGTGCAGTGCTCTTTCTACGATAAGGTGCCACCCATGCATGATGTGTCCTGCTAGGAGTTTCTAGGGAAACATCTGGAAATTATCATAAGATCCATGCAGACCAATTGGAACCCTTTCATAGTCACTATTCAAAGTGGAACAATAGCCTCTAAGATAGTCGGGTAGCAACGCAATTCTTTGGAAATAAAAGTCAACACATTAAATTACACATTGACTTCTTAAGAAATCACCTGGAGGCAAACATCTTATGAAAACTGCAGAGGGCACAATCAAATGTCAATGCCTTCCTTTCCATTATCAGACAGAGGGGTTGTTCCATTTCTCCAGAGCACTATTCGTGGATTTCAAAGATTTTGTGACTTGTCTAAAAATCTAAATTAAACTATATTCTCAAATAGAAAATAAACCCTCTCCTTAGGCCTCTTTAAAATCCAGAAAGACTCCCTTTTCATGTACAATAGTGAGTTTTCCAGACTGGGTTTGTGAGCCCTTTCATTCTGATTGGGAATGTTCCGGTTCAACTCCCATTTCTGCAATAAAACTGCTTGTTAAAAAATTGTCAGTAATTATTAACCCCTCTGCATCTGCTTCCTCTGGTGACAGATTGCAATTGGTCAGACTCCCAGCCTAAACACTGAGTTTGTCAAATTAAAGTGCCTAAACTTGCAAATGATGGAGGTAGGGGTTATACTGTTTCATTCCTAAAGAAACTGTTGTTTTCTGTAGGCAATTTACATTAGTCTTCTTCGCTTCTAACACTTTGCTGGTGCCTCTGTTAATAAGGAAAATGTAGCAAATGTGGACCAGGTAGAGCATTCCCCTCCCTCAGACCATTCAATAACGCATGAACACACTTCTCCATTATTCTTTGAACTTTGGAACAGAGCAAGCAAACACCCAGGCCTTGGGAAAAATGCATAGTCTTGCTCTAAGATGGGCTATGAAAATTACTTGGTAAGAAGCAGTGAAAGAGAGTTGAAAGAGAAATTAGCTTGTCCTATTAAGTTTGCAGGTCAAATGCCTAATTGGGGATACATTGGGCATATTTTGGCAATACACACAATATTCACTCCATTGAGCCTAATGGCTCCTTGAAAGTCATTAGGTGTACTAAGTCAACACATTTTTTGGTGTGTGTGTTAATCTGAAGAACATATTGTTTTACTTATAATGCATTCTTTCACAGCAGAATCTACTGCTCCCAAAGTGGCCACTGTTTGCACTGGGCAGCCTCCCTAAGAGGGGAGGGAGGTGAAACTTTGTGTGTGAGAGTTTGTGCCACAGACAGAGAGGCTCTGCTTTATGGCTGACATTTATTTTCAAAGGATACACCCAAATATTGAGTAATCAAGCACCTTCTCTATGGATTATTCACATCATCTGAGAACTGAAAGAAATTCCTGAAAAGAAGGGGCAAAGATTATCTGTATACATTAAGAAAACTCCTTTTATGTCATCAAATATCAAATGCACCCTAAATTTGCAGGAGGGTAACTTTTGTACATGGGGAGAAGGGATAATGCCAAAAATCAGAGCAAGGGAACCACATTAAGTGGTTTGTAATAAGCCGAATTAGAATAGATTTGTAACTGAGGAACCAGTTGCCAAATCTACTCCCTCTGTGAGGGAAAGAAAGCTACGGAGCTGAAATGACTCGTCCACAATCCCAGAGCTACCAGGAAGCAGAATGAAGGCCGCTCCACATCTTGCGATGCCATGGTCTCTCCATCCACCAGGAAAAGCAGTAAGTGAGAGCATAGCATCACCGTTTCACGGAGGTATTCCTAGCTCACAGTGCTGGCCAGTTCCGAAGGACCCCACAGTCTAGTGATACATGTCCTTTGCATGCAATTTCATCCAACAGCAAAAACTGAACCCAAAACCTCATTCATGTTTATGTGCTCCCTAGCTCAGGTAGTGGCACTACCTCAGGCACTTATGCTTCCACTGGGAGTCACCTTGAACCCTACCGTCTTCCTCAGTCCCTGAGCTCATGCTGCCAACTGGTGCTCATGCTGGCACCTCCCACTGCTCTGTGTCCCACTGCAGCTGACCTTGGCCTGTCCACAGACCACAGCACCAGTTTCCTGTAGGCTTTAACCCCTAATTACTATTCTGCACACAAGTTTGAGCAGAGATATTACAACTCTGCCCAAGCCTTCTTTTGTCTGACTGCATAAAACTGAAGCAATGTGGCCCGAAAAAGAAAACTACCACGATCCAGTTCCATCTTGCCTCTGCAACATCATCCCTTTCACTATCTCCCACTTCTAGCTTTGTGCACCATAGCACTGATTGCTGCTAGTCCCTTACACATGTGTTTGCATACACACACAAATACACACACACACACACACAGTGTGGATTCATCTGTTTGTGCCTGTGACTCTGCCCTGCTTCTCTGCCTGAATGCCCACTCCCTCCAATCTCCCCACCTAGTCCATCTGTATAAACTTCAACTTAATGCTAAATACCACTTCCCGAGGATAGTCTTCCCTGCCAACTTCCACCCAACTCTCACCTGTGAGGTTTCCTTCCTCAACGCTCCCACAATATACTCACCTACCTCCTTGTATAGGATTCTCTGCCTGTCTTCTTCATCCTGCATCCCAGCTTTTGGAAGTTCAGAATTATGTCCTATGTATCTGTATGCCTACCATGAGGCCACACAGCTAATAGGTGCTTGGTGTTCATTGACTAAATGGAAAAATAAAGCATTCATATCCCAGATGCCTTCTACTGCACCAAACTGCCTCATGTGAACACCATCGTATTGGCCCAGAGAGAATGCAACCATCTGGGAATCCACACAGAATACTTGAATGTTTAATATGTGAGCGATTCTCAACTCTGCTTATGAAGTATTATGTTGAAATGAATTCTGTTATTTTAAATAACTTGTGCTTGATTTCTTTAGAAAAAAGAAACAAATAATCAAAATAAAGATATAAAATCCTTGGCACTGAGCTTTGCTCACTCCTTTCAAGGCTTCGGACCATGACCTCTGGCTTGAAAAATCCCCAGATGAATTCTGTTTTCCCTTCTCCTTCACCCAGCAGAGCACAGCTTTGCAATTCTCCTTCCATTAACTATCCATTGTTTCTTTTACCAACCCCTTCTTATTTCAAAATATCATCTTTTATGAAGGGTAATGTTACATGCTAGAAAACTGTAAAAAATTAGTGGGTGGCATTACAATGAAGAAAATGCATTATTTTATTTTTTGCCCATTACACAGTTACAAGTTTTGTTGTTTATACAGATATGTTTTATAGATGGATCTATTCAAAATATATTAACACTTTGATCATTGAGAAATTTAAATCAACACTTCACTTGCTTTCCACAGAAGGAACTCTTTTTCTAAGAGATTTACCTGAATTGTTGTTAGTAGTTTTATTCTTCTTGTAAAAAACCTATTAACAGCTCTCCCAGAGGATCATATCAATAATGATCTTAAAAGTTGAATGAATCTTAAAAGTTGTTAGCCTGTTAATTTAGTTTGTGAAGGTCCCACTGCTTAAATCTGGTAGAAAACCTATTCTCTTTATATTGCTTTCTTTGTCACTGAATTAAGTGCCTAGAACACTGTCTATCACTTATGTGCGTTATTTTCAAAATAAGGGTTCAATGAGAAATTCCTGGGAATGCAAGCTCAGTCAGCTGTTGATATACCACCTCAGTTTCCCAGGACAGACAGCCTGGATGGCTGCCCTTGGGTTGGGGATTGGAAGAGATTATGGATGAGATTTAGCAAAGCACTTAAACCACATGAACTAAGGAATACGCAGGAGTGGCTCCACTAAGAAAAGTCAGGTGACCCTGAGTGAAGACATGGATGAGGAAGTCAACAGATACCAACCAGGACCCTGACAACATAGCAGATATGCTCTGATCCTATCTTCTAATGGAATCATGAGACTCTTGCCTGTGGATCATATACTAACCTCAAGGTCTCAAATTTCATTTTTAATATAAAATAGCCAGTGTTCTATACAATTTTATTTGATTGCATGCTTCTTCTCTCATTCTGCTCATTTCCCATGTCTATTCAGTCATATATATATATATGATCTAAATAACAATATATGATCTAAACAATAAGTTAAGTACAAAAATGAGTCAATAATAAGCAGGGCTAAAGAAGATGATTTTTGGATGAGAAAATTTTAAATGATTCTCTGATATAAAATTATCAACTATACTAATACCCATTGTACTCATAAATGATACTGTTTACTTGAACATTTTTAAAATATAAGTGTCTCTATAAATTTAATCTAAATGACAGATTTAATGTTCAGGTCAACATAAAAATGGCCAAATAGAAGAACCCATAAAACAAAATGTAAGAAAAACACTACAGTCTGTAGATGCAGGAAGAAAACAACGGATTCTCCTCTTTGGTTCAAAACTTGCTCATGTTACTTCTCCTGGAAGGTTCCACTCTCTCACCAAAATGCATCCCATTTTTAATAAACTCCCTGTAAAATAATCTTTGATAGTGTTCAATTCAGTTACCCACATTTTCAGTCCTACTCCTGTAGATTTTATACAAAAATAGTATCCCAGTTTTATTTCATTGACTTTTTGTCTTCATCTATAACAGTAACTGATTTTGTCAGATGCTACACACATATGTGTTTTATAATAATTATAAATATGTTCTATTATTATAAGTAAAACATGTTTCAGTAACTATATATTCTTAACACTGCACATCATATAAGTATTACTTAAAAGTATAAAAAGTATATAATCAACTCAGCAACATTTGGTTAGGTCTTAAATTGTCCCTACTACAGAGAATAATTATTTGCCCTGGGTTGCACTCATTTTTATTCCCAGAAACATTTTGGACCTCAGTGCTCAAATAAATGTTTGCAGCATTGTCTGACCCTATAAGAGCCTATGGAGACCCCAAAGGTTTGTGAGCAGAGAGAAAAGTAGATTTTGTTAAGGATGAAGGGAAGTAGGAATGGGGTGAGGGAGTGGAACCAGAGAAAACAGAACTGTATCAGCAAGGCTTAAAATTTGTTCTTAAGACAGATTAAATTCATCCTGACACTTACCAAATGGCAAAACGAACAGCAACTTTCTCCTGAAGACTTCAAAATGAAGATGGAAGTTCATTTATGGGAGATGGTCATCAATCTCAATATTCACAACCTATTCATGCGCTTTAACTTGATCAGCCTCCTGCTGACTCATAAGCTCTAACATGGAGCAGAGCAAGTGCATCCCTTGTACAGATATGTGCACACCCCAGGTGTACACTGTAATTCTCATGACTTACATGGGAACCCACGTAAACTCATGGCCACATGTATTCAGGGATGTCTTGAAATCCCAAGATTCATTCTTTTGTCAGGAAGATATAATAAAACACTCTTTTAATTTTAATCTATACTGCCTTACAATTTTAAAAAAATTATTAAAGAGAACAGTTTTTATGTAGTTCATATATATGATTCTAAGATAACCACATTTCCCTTCCTCCCTCTTTGCCTCCCTCAATCCCTGATAACTTAACAAAAATGTTACAATCGCCTGCACAACATACAGGAAATATTAGCCATTTTCTTGGTTGGACTTGTAAAGCCATACATAACACTGTAAGTGATTTGGGTCAGAACTCAAGAATCATATATCTTTATGTTTCTTCTAAGTGTAGTTAGGAGCCACTATGATAGAGCCATTTGAATGGCATGCATCTCAGATCCCCAAATTTGATGCTTAGAATTAAAATGGCCCTGTCTCTGTCCATTACAGAGTAGCAATAGAAGTTTATTAACAATAGAAATGTATTTGGTTCAGTGTTCTGGAGACTGAAAATTCTAGGAGCATGGCCCCAGCCTTGGCAGACAGCTTTCATGCTGCACCATAGCATGGTGGAAGAGCACCTTATCAAGAGAGAAGGAGAGACAGAGAGAGAGAGAGAGAGAGAGAGAGAGAGAGAGAGATGCCACTGTTAGAACAAATCCACTATCCACTCTCAGGATAAGCAGCCAATGCCCAACCATAAAGACATTAGTCCATTCATTAGGTCAGAGCCCTCTTGACCTAATCACCTCTTATTAGCCCCCGCCTCCCAACACTGCTGCCTTGGGCATCGAGTTTCCAACAAGTGAATTCCAGGGAGAACATCCAAACCACAGGGGCTCTCATATTTAGACGGTTTTAAAATGAAACAGTCTGATTCCTATCTGAAATCTACACTCATGATTCTTGCGGCATGGCAGAGAAATAGAATCATATGAAGAGCAGGACATATCACAATCTCCAAAGAAAAAGGGAATCCTTTTTGAAAAGCACATACAGTTTGTATCACAATTATAGATTCCAAAAAATAGAAAACATTTTTCTTAATACAAACTACCAAAATAAAGCCTGGTTATATATTTTTGTTTTCAACAGATGGCCCTACAGATCTCCAGGGTTGGGGAGAAAGCTTGAGATTTTTATATTTCTCAAAAGGAAATTGGGTTCAAAAGAAGGTGAGAAATCCTGATATAGAAAGATGGATATCTTGCTTCGTATAGACTTCAGGATTGTGTAAGCCTCTTTAATTTAATTTTTAATGGAGTAACATAACTCCACACAGGACAGACTCTAAATGTTAGAGTCACATTTATCCTTGAAACACCCCATAAACCATCATTAACATGTATGACGTATAGATATGTGCATCAGAGTTAACAGTACTGTGTTGTGCATGCCCTAAACCACTACCCATGCAGCAAAATGCTCACACGAACAAGGGGAACTGGGGGTTGTTGCTAAAAGTAACTGACGGGCTGGCAAATCCAACCTTCAACCAACCTTCTTCATTCCCAGGGGTAAAAAAGCAAAACTCATGGAAGTAGCTACCACACTTAAATTTTTGTATTTCTTTTTCTTATTCGCCTGGGGCAAATAAGGAAATTTTCTGAAGTTAAAGAAATTTGGAATGCAATTCTACTGTATATGCAGTAGTGGAAGATACTAGAAGGATATTTAGACCCAAGTATAATCACTCATCTCACTTTCTAACAGCACTTGAAGTCCTGAATTAAATTTCTAATTCTCTCCATTGTATAAATTTAATTCCCCTTTATAATGAAGGTGATAAAGATAACTGATTATCATCCTTCTTGAGAGACTTTATTAAATTATCATAGTTTCCCAATGCAAACTCACTTTCCTATATGTCTACATGAAATCTAATCAGTATGGAAAGTAATAAGAAACTGAAATTTTTGAAAATCAACACAAGTGTTGTTAGGGACAGATCAAAGGTTGCAAATGCAGGAATCCCCACAGCACACATTAGTTGATGATGTTTTTGAGAACAGTAATTTTACATTTTGACTGGGCCACCCCCAGTTCTTAGTACATGCTCAATAAATGATTGCTAGAAAAAGATTCAAATGGTCAAAAGTTTACTTTTCTTAAGAATACTTTAAACTTGACTGCAAATTTCACACAATCGTCCATTTATAATCTAGATACTGTTGTCAAGACATTTAATGACATTTTTGTCCCCAAAACCAATATTGAATTCAATTACCTCAAATATGAATTTTTTAACATTCTGCAAGTTGAGCAGGAATGTTATTGTCCATTGACTGTAATACATCAAATAAAAATAGAATTACTTGACATGACATCCTATCTCACCATGGTGACTCCCGCCTTTACCATGGGACTGTCAGTCCTAGGTGACACCTGCTTTGCCTGCAACCAACAACTCCGTGTGTGCCTTTCTGCAGCAGATGGCTTGAGGCGTGACGTGTTAATGGCAGTGATTACTTCATGAATAGTGACAGCTGATCAGGGACATAATAAAACAATAGTGGCTGCCATCCTGGAAAAGGTGCTAAATAGGGGTGACATGTTTAGTGAAGGCTCCACCTCTCTTGAACCTCATTATCAATTCCAAAGGGACACACCGGCCAGCCAGGCAACGTCAGGCTAAGAACACAGAGGGAAGAACCAAATCTACTCAAAGATTTCCATCCACGTTAATTGGAGCGGGGGGAGGTGTCCAGCTTTTCCTGTGCAAGCCATTTAGGCAAATGTTAATGTCTCTTCCCATTTTGACTTCTCGTGTATGATGGTCAGTGTGTGGCTCAGCACTCACCAGTTTAAGGAAGTCTGATTCCTAACCCTCTCCTTCATGAGTATATAGCCTGGAGCCAAGGTGGAAATCACCATGGCAGAACACAAAGAGATCAGCTTTGTGTCTTGTGAACTTGTGTTTCTGAGCACCGGCCATTTTCTCAACAACTTCTATTTCCAATTCATACCTCTAGGAAAAGTTAACAGTTATGAAAAGCACAGATCTGCTGCTTTTAAAGGTGGTTCATCCATTCCACAAAGTGGACACTGGGGAATAAAGCAAACAAGGTGAAGTCCTTCCCTTCACGGTGCATAATCTCATGAGAATGACATAAGTGTAAACAATCCATTACAACCCAGGGTGATGAGCTATGATTACCTGCTGCGTTGTCAAAGATTATCTGAGGGCTTGAGAAAACAAATGTCACCAATGTAAATACATGTGCCTGTGCAGACACACGTGATGGGGAGGCCTTCAAAAAGTTCATGGACATGCATTTTATGATAAAACTGCATGGATTTCAAAAATGTTTGCACTAAAATGAATATATCTTTTAGTTCCATTTTCCATGGACGTTTGTATGTGTATGTACAAAATTATCTAATAAAATAAACACCCACTGTTCCAATGAGTTTATCCAGTCATTTTGGTTTACCCCAAGTACCAACATGACTTCTTAAAAGATAGAGCTTTTTACTAGTCTAGAGAAACATGCAATAGGGGGCTGGCATTGTACACGGAGAGTTAAGCCTCTGCTTGAGATGCCAGTATCTCATGACGGAGAACCAATATGAGTCCTGGCTACCCTGTTTCTGATCTATCTCCCTGTTAATGCACCAAGGAAGGTGGTCAACGGTGGCTCCTGCCGTTCATATGAGAGACCAGAATAGAGTTCTTGCCTTCTGGCTTCAGCCTGAACAGACCTGGCTGTTGTAGCCCTCTGGAGAGTGAACCAGCAGATGGAAGATTCTCTCTCTCTCTCTCTCTCTCTCTCTCTCTCCATCTTTCAAATAAATGAATAAATAAATAAACCTTTTTTAGAAAAGAGAGAAACACAGGGTCCGTTATTGTACACCTGGTTTGATTGTTGTGGTTTTTCTGTTTTTTGTTTTTTTTTTTTTTTTTCCTGAGGCTTCTGGTAGGATTTGCTCATGTTTTCAGTTTATATTACTTGCACACATAAACATAAAATATTTGCAAGCATCTAAATAACCTAAAATAGAAAGCACAATATACAAAATATTTTCCTCACTTTCAATCAGGAGGGGTGAGAAGAAATCCTGGAATAGGTTTCGAAGTGTACATTCCTTGTCTGAACAGGATAAGTAAGTGAGCTCTCCTCACTTGAGTTCCACTGAGCTCCTGGCCCAGAGACTGGGCAAGGCCAGCTAGCCTGATGCTCCACGGAGAGTCATCTCTTCTGCACATGTGATCTGCTGCCAACATTCTCTTTATAAGTCTCAGGACCAGAACTAAGTGAGACTGTTGTAATGACTTCATCCCACCCATTACAGTATCTTCCCAGAGTGACTATTAGAGAATTACTGTATTATGTCTGCCTTGGGGACATGAGGAGGCCCTGATAGATTCCAGTGATTTTAACCTGGTAATTAGTTTACACTGCTTTATGGAGATTTTACTGCTTTGGAGATGACAGTTTTTCTTCTCAAAATTAGTCCTGATAGCCAGTCATTTCATTTCATGGTTTAGGAAAGATCTGATATATGTTATGAGATCTTCATTCAAGAATGTAGAAAAAAAGTCCCCTTTCACTAGCTGAATGCTGTTTTGTACATTCTTGCTTTTTTTATTGTTAAATTTTTAGGCCCATATACTGAGTAGAATTGTTTATGAGTCAAAGTAAAAAGCAGCCTGCATGTATGGCTGATTCTTATTAGGAACAACAAAAATTTTACATATAAAATGGAGAAAATGGTTTAGTAATCTCCCAGGCTTTGACGATGTCACATATGGATGTATAATAAATAACAAAAACACCATGTCCTGCTAATTCAGGGAATAAATTACATGTATCCTGAACATCTTCTGTGTCCCTTATGCCGTGCAGTATTAAGGTGTAGCAGTGAAAGCAAAACAATTTCCTTCCCCCTTGAAATATTCTAGAGGAGGGGAAGGAGCTAGCTAACTGAATGAACATAAATAAATAATTAAATATTTGCAAATAGAGGAGAGGAGACAATGATGAGATCAGGGAAAGCTTTGGGAGTGGGGACAACTGAGAAGGGACCTGAATGAGGTGAAGGAAGAGGCAAACTTTGGGGAAAGAATGTTCCAGAAGGGGAGGCTGACCTATGAGCAAGCACCCAAGTGAGAAAGAGCAGAAGAGTTGCAGGCAGTGTGGTCACAGCATAGTGGATGAATACCTCAATTAGCCCTTAGAAATCCAAGTTCACTCATGGATGATGTGGAAAAAGGAGTTTCCCACTAAGAGTCAAGTGCTGTGTCATGTTAGCTACATATATGAAAGTATATGCAGTCTCTCAGACCCAACAGTGAAAGATTTTTGGAAATTTCTAACACAGACAGAAACTCTGCACCAAATATCCCCTAACAGCATTGAGATCTTACACAGTCAGCTTACACTGTAATAGCCATGTTTAGGGAAAATACTTTGATAATGAATTTAGGAAACTCAATCACTATTCACTAGTTTTTAACCTTAGATTGGAAATATAATACTTTCTTTTTAAAAGCATATACTGGTAAAGATAAAAAGATACTCTTCCCTTATTACCTAGCTTTTTCCTTCTCTAGCACCTACGAAATAGAACTACTTGGCATACATTGCTATCCAGAACTGATGGGATATTCTTGCATACATTTATACAAACCCATTGTTACATTGGGTTTCCTTTTTTACTTGAATTGCAGCTCTTTTTTAAGATTTATTTATTTATTTGAAAGGCAGAGTTACAGAGAAAGAGTGAGAGTCAGCGAGAGTGAGATCTTCCATCCACTGCTTCACTCCTCAATGGTTGCGATAGTCAGGGCAGGGCTGGGCTGAAGCCAGGAGCCAGGAGCTTCCTCTGGGTTTCTCACATGGTGGGCAGGGCTCAAGCAGTTGGGCCATTCTCTGTTGCCTTCCCATGCCCCAGCAGGGAGCTGGATTAAAAGTGGAGCAGCCAGGACCTGAACCAGTGCCCATACGGGATGCCTGCATTGCAGGTGGCGGCTTAACCCTCTAAGCCTCAATGCCAGCCGCACTGGGTTTCTTTCACCAAATGGAATGATAACACTCTACTATTCTGAAACATTACTTTCCATCTTTACTTTCCCTGCGCAACATGTTATTGAGAGGTAGTAACTCATCCCTTTTTTTAGAGTACTCTATGTCACAATATATTTATCCATTCCCTTGTGATGGACATTTAAATTGTTTCCAAATTTTGCTCCTGCAGGCAATGCTTAAAATAAATATACTAGTACATGGTTCCAAGTGTACACAAGCAAACATTTCCCTAATGTAACCACCTTAACTCATTGCTTGTTTTTTTGTTTTGTTTTGTTTTGTTTTGTTTTGTTTTGTTTTGTTTTTTGCTAAATCATCCATCTTTTTTCCCTTGGCTCCTCCCCCAGCAAGAAAAAAAGTAAACATAGCTGAAAGGATGCTGCTTTGGCTTGTTGATGCTCATTTCCGACTCAGAGTTCAAATTGAGTATCCTCATTAAAGACCACTTGTACCATCAAGCAACCCCAAGCCAACATCAGGGACTGTTCTCCTCCTATCTCCCACTCCCACCTGGACTTGTGGATGACCCTTCAGGAAAACATGTGGTGAAAGTAGTTTTCTCTGTGAGCCAACAGAAAATTGGCCCTTGAGATGACTTGTAAAGAGATTTTGTGAGCCATGAGCAGAACAGCATGGGTTCCGACGAGGCATGGAATTCAGAATTGTAATAGAAAACATTTATTTGGCTACAACTAAACATCCTAACACATGTTAGCATTTGCTGCCAATATGCTTCCTAATTAAGAACAACATAAAATCATAGGAAATCCTGTATCCTGTCTTCATGCACTTTTCATGTATCGTTAGTGCCCCAGCTTTATTTCTCAAGTATAGTGACCACAAAAAGGAGGGGGTGGGGGGAGGAGAAGGGAAAAGAAGTATCAGGTTGATTCACAAGTCCTGTTTTGCCAGACACGAACTGTGGTGTCATTAACAAGATTAATGTACATTCCAGAAGGCACCACCAAGCATTTTTTCTTCTTCCTTAAACAAATGCTGCTATTAAAAACTAATTTTTTAAAAGGCTAATAAGCACCACCCCTCCAAAATGAAAGACTAGCGGCATTTCATTGGTAAAGGATTACCTGTAACTAATGTGAAATTTTAAATAGTTTAAAACAGTCCCTTCTCTCTAGGATTTTCTGGACTGTTGGCCATGTTTGTGTACTTTATAATGTTGAACAGATTTCACTATAGGGGAGGAGAGACTGAGATCTGGTTTTCTTCTTAGGTCTTCCTTAAACCCATGCTAATGTCATCTGAAAATATTTAGAGATGTACCTGTGTGTACTGAATCATCACCTACTCATGACAAACAAATGGACAAGGGGATTACTACACAGGTACAAATGTGTCTGCCGTCTAATCAAGGCTAGCATTGTTGGAGTTACACTTCGAAACACTTGATTTATTAGTTTGGATATAGTCTTTGAACCTACATAGCCAACTAATTGCTTCCTTCCCCCACCATCAGGCAGAAATTAAAAATTAAAAGAAAAAATGCAAAAAGGAAGAAAACACTCTGGGACATTCCACGTGAAGTTTCTCGTTCTAACTGGAGTTGATTTTTTTTTTTTTTTTACCATGCACTGAAATAGGCTCTGAAGTGACACAAGGAACTAAAACCCAGGTCTGAAATGTTGCCTTAAAACATCTTCTGTGGGTCTTTTCAATGATTTTCAGAATGATTTCGTTTTTTCCAGGGAGACAAACACACTCCTGCTGCCCCTTCCTGAGAGTGGCACTGCATTCCTCTCCGACTTCTCCCCCTTCCAAATCTATTTATTGCTTGTTGTTCTTGGCTCGTCCTCACTTTCCATTTTTCATGATTAGTTCTTTATGATCGTGTGTTTCCTTTTCTTCTCCTCTCCGTGGCTGCCAGCCCAGTTGTTCTCTCTGGACCCTCAAGTTTCCCTTTGCTAATGAAACAAGAGCTGCCTCCCTGCCTGGCTCTGGCCATCCAGCTGTTTCCTTTTTAAAACACAAACTCATCTTTATTCCCTGAAGTTCCTGGGCAAACCTGACTGCTTTTTGCAGAACAGTTGATAATAATATGAAGGATTAAAAAGGCTTGAAGAGACAGCCATATCTGGAAGACTCCAGAGTGGGTGGGAGGAAGGTAAACAAAAAACTAAATTCATGTTTGAAACATTCTGAAAACAAGAACAAAAAAGAGAAACCTTTCTCCTTAGCGCCGTAATCCTCCTGGGCAAGTCTTGATGGCAGCTGGGGTGAGGGCACCCCCTGCATGTCTACCCCTCTTTCTCAGCCACTTTCCCCTCCCACTTTGCCTGCTTCACATTTCTTGGCCTCTGTGAAAAGTAGCCACGCTAACACCACAAACCAGGGTTGTGTATGATTAGGTGGTGAAAAGGTGCCAACTCGAGGGGCAGCTGCCAAGTCAAGTCAATTTAGTGTGCTGCTTTGACTGAGCAAGTGGGTCTTAATCCTGCTTTAATCTCCGGTGGGTGCCCTTGACATCACGGAAATTATGGGCAAAGCTAATGTCATCAGATGAACTGTGCTTACTCACGCAGAAAAGGTTCCCTGAACAAAACAACCTGTTTATTTTCTAAGCTTTCAAATCCCAAATATTTCAAGAAAAATGAGTGAACCCACAGCTATCATCTTACCCAAACAGAGCAGCTAATTCTTTCTCAGTCGTATAACTGATAAGACTTCATGTGACTGGGAATTTAGAGTCTGCTACCGCATCAGGTGAGAGTACCCTATTAAAGACTTGCTTGATGAGATAAACAGGTAGTTCTTATGGCTCCAAGTTTTAGAAGAAGGTTTCCCTTTAAATCTTCTCTAAGAACATTTTTCTGATATAAATTTTCCAATGCAATCATTTCCCAACAGAAAGCAGAGAAGAAACTAAAATATAAAGAAAATGAAAAGACGATCTTAATTAGGTGAGATTCTCACCTGAAAACAATTATCAGGTAAGCTAAAAATAAGCTCCTCCATTGGAAAGAAATGGGATTCTAATAACCTGGTGTATGGTAGTTATTCATTGTTGACAAAATGCTTGCGTTTATGGTACTTCAAAAAGGTCGTTGAAATGGAATTAAAAGAGATTTATTTTGTGCAAAAAATATTTTGAAATCCATGCATAGCATTTCCTAATATGTACTTCCTATGAACTTTTTGAAGTTCAAAGGTTTTTGCTCCAAAATAAATCTAGCTATCTAGCTTCTAATTCCATTTTCCATGAAGTTTTTGAAGTCACTATGTGTGTATGTGTGTGTCTGCACACATGTACATGCATGCACTATATATATACATATATGTCATAGATACATACATATATATGCTTCCACTTGAACTTCACAGTCGTAAGATAAGGAGATGGAAGGGTAGAGCTCTTTAATGCGAAGCCTTAAAGTGCTCCACCATAAACACGCTCTTAGAACTAAGCTCAGCTCAGACTGTGCACGCTGAAAGCATGTACCACAGATGCTCTCTCCTCGTCGTCTCCCTTAGGAGGAAGAGAGCCTGGGAGGAGAGGTCAGATCTTGACTATCATTCTTTATTCCCCTTTCTACTGTGATAAAAATAATTCCAGGATCTCTCCGGTAAGGAAGAGTCACACCCATTTCCTGTCCTCATCCATGGTCTATGAGCCAAGTCCTGCATGCACGAGTCCTCCCAGGAAGGGAAAGCAGGAAAACCTTGGGTTCCAAAGAATGCAACTCGCTTGATGGTGATGTTAGTATCTGCCCCACCCTGCCAACTGATACCATGACTCCAAATTCTTCCCGACCTCTGGTTTCCGTTGTCTGTCTGACCTTTCAGTAGTCCTCTGCCTGCAGCTTGCCTCCAAGCTCTGACTCAGAGCACACCTGATTACAACCACTGGACTCTGAGACATTGTCCCTGAGGCAGAGCCTGACCTCTGGATTCTGTGCTTTCCTCTGACCCCCAGAGAAACACTGGCCTGTGATTCCCTAAGGCCCTCCGTGCCCAAGGGTCCTCTCCTCCTAACCTTGTCGTTAGGCCAGGGGCTGGGCCAGTACACATTCCAGGGACTGTGCACTCAACAGTGGCTACGTCCAAAGATCCAGCACAGAAAGCTTGGGCAGTTGGGAAACGTTGTTCTGGCAAATTGCTGCCTCTCTGCTTCCATCCCAAATTCTGATCTCCATAAATCCAATTTAGCAAAATATGACAAAACGTCTAGCTTTGTCCCAGTATCTCCACCTAGGAATCTATCCTGGGAAAAGTGTTTGATGCAAAGGTATTTCTCAACTATCTCTATGTTATCCTAGAAATGTTTTGGTTTTTTTTTTTAGACTAAGCTTTAAAAAAAACATTAACATAACTTTAAGTTGATCTCCAAAAAATAAACTTTCAAAAATGCCATTGTCACCAGGTCATCCCTCTTTATGGGCAACAGGGACAAAGAAGGGCTTCATCCGTGGACACAGATGGATTTGGTGTGAAGCCAATCAAGCCTGAGCTCCAGTACTCTCCTGTGCATAGATTCCTCCCAACATCTTGTGAGGGGCCTAGCAACTTTGCTTTCACTCTTTTTTTTATTGAAAGTAACTCATGCCAGGGTATGTGAGATCTCTAGTAAGTAAATGGTGGATTCATGCCACGTGAAGGTCCAGCGATGTCCTGGCAGGATATGTAGGCCAGCAGCTTGCAGAAGGTAAAGCAAACTGTTGTATGGGTCACAAGGAAATACAGAGGGCTAAGATCACAACGGCTCCAGCAGACCAGCTGGTGTAATCCCAACGCCCAGAGTAGGGATTTCATGTTAGCAAACCATCATCTCTCACACTGAATTCATTCTGTTAATTTGAGTGTTGAAGATTGCTGTTTCGTTTGAGTTCAATCTGTAAATTTCTGTTGGATTTGCAGTTGTGTAGCAGCCATAATCTTAAGGAATGCATGCCTACATTCAGGTTATATATATATTGAAGCACTATTAGAATATGAAATAATTTAAATTTAGGAGAATGACAGAAAGAGGTGGGGAGCTCAGTCAGGAATCATGACAAAGACATTACTATGAGGTGTTAATAGGGGAGCTGGGTTGAGGGGTACATGGGAACTCTTTATATTACTACCTCACAGTTTTTGCTTTGTAAGTTTAAACCTATTGTGAAATAAAATATAAAAAGAACCCCTGTGGGAATACTTTGTAGATTCAGGATTGAGATCCACATCCAGTTGTGTCATTTCAGATCTAGCTTGACAGACCACACAGCAGACTCATAGAATGACAAATGCCCTAAACAGCACACTGGCCTCAGAATCAGCCCTTAAGGCATTTGGATCTGGCTAAAAAGCCCATGAGAGCATTTCAAGCATGGAAAGCCAAGACACTGTGGCAAAAAATGACCTACATGAAAGATCTCTGTGAGTGAGAGCCCAGTGGAAAGAAGGGGCTATCAAAGAAAGAGGTACATTTCTCTGAAGGGAGGAGAGAACTTCCACTTTGATGATGGCCTTGTCTAAATAATGTTGGAGTTTGTGCACTTAAGAGGCTCCCAAGGCCTTCGCAGCTCATGACAAGAGCCTCAGGTGATCACTGATGTCATAAATAAGAGTGTCAATTGTTAAATCAACAACAGGAGTCATTGTGTACTTGTTCCCCATGTTGGACCTCTGTCCTCAATGTGTTGTACTATGAGAATTAATGGTAAAACTAGTCTTCAAACAGTATTTTATACTTTGTGTGCCTGTGTGGATGCAAACTGTTGAAATCTTTACTTAGTATAGAGTTGACCTTCTGTATATAAAGATAATTAAAAATGAATCTTAATGAAGAATGGGATGGAAGAGGGAGTAGGAGGTGGGACAAGAGTGGGGTGGGAGGGCAGGTATTGGGGGAAGAACCACTATAATCCAAAAGTTATACTTATGAAATTTATGTTTATTAAATAAAGCTTTCTATAAAAAAATCTAGCTTGATGTACTGCGCTCTAGATGAGACCCTGCCTAAGTTATAGCATTGATTCCTTCAATAAATAACTTCCACCCTTTGATATGAAGGATCCGCACTTGAGTCTGAGAGACACAGACCATATTTAGTACACTTTCCAAGGAGTGGACTTCTCAGAGTAAAAACATACACACCTAAGACAGAATCATCTCTTTGACTAAATCACTTCAGATGTTTGTAGCATAACAAGCAATGTACGAAGACTGGTAAATCCTCAAGGTATGATTTTATTGTAACATTAAAATAACTTTGAGGTTGTTTTGTTACATTAGCACAAGAAAATGATTCATTCTCTATATTCCATATTCCATATTCCATATTCCAGTTGGTAAGTCTCTGAACAATTTCCCTCTGTAGTTCAGCTTCAAAGCTACTCCAGGGAAAGCCGCTAATTTTTAATATTGGGCTAAGCAAAACACAATTAGGAAGGCAAATTTCTAGGGGAAACTTTACAGAAAATTCCCAAGACAATTTCTGTGATTTTGCAATATCCATGGTTTGAGTTTTCTCACTCCATCTCGTTCCTTCACAGGCAATCAGGAGTCGCCTGTAATTAAATAATCCCTGGCAGCAGGACCATCCCCTGAGAATTGATTCCCAGGTCTCTGCAATGAGCCCATATTTTTATATTCACCATTGCTGTAGATGCTTAGTGTTAATTTCTCCTCCTCATCTGGTTCAGACTTGAGGCTCCAAAAACTCTTTGATGTGGGAGGAGGGGAGACTCCATTTTATATCTACAACTATATCTGGGCTCAACAGCTGATTTTGGAATCCTTGACCACTTTATCCTTATCCCGATGGACTAGAAAATGAAAGGAAGTCTGACTGTTATTGATTCATAGATTATTAGGGCTCAACAGAACCTGAGAGATAATATCATCCAACTAGATCCAAAGAAATGCAATAAGATTGAAAGCAATCTATCATTTACTCTGAGAAAACTTTAATGCCACCTTCACATCTGAATGTTTATTTCTAAATTTCATTTTCCAGTAATTGAGCCCCTTCTGTATATAAGGCATTAAACTAAAACTGTGTCATTCCAGTAACTTACTTCTGGTTCATATACCTTTTTGTAGAGTGAGCAATAGTCTTCCAAAAGATGTAGTACAAGTTTCTCACCCATCTCAGTAAGAGGAGAGATGCACACTTTGCACTAAATGCACTGAATTTTTTTTTGCCAGGCAGAGTTAGACAGTGAGAGAGAGAGACACTCCCCTGATGGCCACTACCCTAATGGCCACTACGGCCGGCGCTGTGCCGATCCGAAGCCAGAAGCCGAGAACTTCCTCCCAGTCTCCCATGTGGGTTCAGGGACCCAAGCACTTGGGCCACAGCAGAGAGCTGGATTGGAAGAGGAGCATTAGGGACTAGTACCCAGCACCTCAACTGGGACTAGAACCCAGGGTGCTGGCGCTGCAGGCAGAGGATTAGCCAAGTGAGCCGCAGTGCCAGCCAACGCACTGGAATTTTAAACTCCATCCTTAAAAGACTCCTATGCTTAGTTCAGGTCAAATTATTTAACCTTTCATAAATACACAGCATCCATTCAGAATCACTGGCTGTCATCTACCTGATTTTACCCAGAGCTTAAAACAAAATGTGCCAATCTGAACAGGATTTAAAATTGCCGTGTAAAATGGAAGAGGAAAGACCACCAAGAGCTGGATCTATGCCATATATACCTGTGTCTTTTCATGATGAGTTTCTATCTTGCCAATTTCTGCCCCACCCCTATGACCTATTATCTAGAATATGAGCAAAGCACAGTCTCCAGGAATCATAATCGATAAAAGAGGGGAGAGGGGATTTAAAAAGAGAAAGAAAATGCGTGAGTTGTAGTTCCAGAAAACCTGGATCTAAATTAAAATGTAAATGAGAGTTCCTCATTAGTTTTTTTAAGGATACCATCCACTTAAAATGTAGATTTAGATGTAGATTTATATATACAAATGTATGTGTATGTATATTATGTATGTAGGTGTGTTTCATGCCTCTTCCTGAAAAAGTCAAAGGGCTCTCATACATGAATTTACAATCATGAAATACCAGTGCAATGGGGAGGGAGCAACACAGGAGGTAGACTATAGAAGCAACTAAAAATGGGGTCAGAGAAAGACCTAGAGTCACATCTGCTACAGCGACATAGCAGCTGCATGGTCTCGAGCAATCACTCCAGTGATCCACTTCCCAGAGCAGCTGTCAACACTGAATGATGGAATAAAAGGAAAGCACTGTGTTTGGGATATAGTAGGTCCTCAATAAATGGCAGAGAGTTTACTCTTACTACTACTATTACTATACAGTGGGCTTGAGTATGAGAGATTATCTAATGCACAGTCCTCTTCTCAATCTGCACCATTCAAAATAAACATTTGTGATACGTAACAGGTGCTTACTCAAAGGCTGTTTTCTCTGCTGGATAACATACAACTGTGCGGAACTTTTTTTTTTCTTGAACAGTCTGTTTTCTAAGACTGCATTATCACCTCCCCAACCTCTTCTCCTCCTGCATACCCTCTATACTCACACACACTCACCATTTACCCTTTAATTGCCTAGTTGTTTTAACTTCCTGGAGAGACAACACAGCGCTAAATATAGCTCTATCCATCCCAACAAGCAATCCTTTAAAGGAGTTCAATTGCCTTGCTTTTTACTGCCTACGAAAACTTGATCTCAAGCTTTATAAAAGAGAAAAACAGAGGGCCTTCTATGATACGATGTTTAGCAATTGACATGTTGTCCATTGCTTGGGAGGTTTTGTGTACTGGCACTTAATCCTTGTTTCAGTTACAAGCCCTGTAGGGAAATTTGAGTCCTGTACATGAGTTCCTCATTTATTTCTGAGCCAAGATAATTCTAGGATTACCACTTAGAAAATTGGGAGAACAGACTTCTGCACAGCCACCAGGCAGACCGTATTGAAAAAAGGGGCTTGTAGACTACCTTTTTTGGTGACAAGGTTAGGGATAGGTATTGTGGCTAAATCCCATTAGCGAGAACATTACACTCATTTGATGAATACTGGAATTTCAGCTCAGACTCTCCTGATGGCCTGCCCCCTCCATACAGGGGATTCCTTGCCCAGGAAATGCCTCTCAGACTAAAGCTCAGGCCCTTTCCATGCCAGCTAGCTCCAAAGTCAGAACACTATATGAAGGACACATGCCATTCCCCTACTATCAGCATACATGATTCATAAGCCTCTCTCCATTATTTCTTGAGTGACCTTTAGAGTTCAGAAAGTATTCCTTTGTGTTAAAGCAAACACAACTCTCCTGCAAGCATCCTACAGGAATTTAAAGATTGTATTAATCTGATGTCTTCATTGTTATGGGGTAAAGGAGACAGCAGTGTCTTTTCTCCCCAAATGTTCACAGGCTCCTAGAAAGTGGCCACAGTGACTAGGCAGCACTGTGTGCACTGGAACTAACTCCAAGACACTGATGGGCAAAGAAAGAGCAGAAAGCCACGGCAGCACACACAGAAGGGGCTTTGCCCCCATACTTCAGCCCCTCTTCAGAAGAGAAGTCTAAAACAATGATTAACAGACATGTATTTCAAGAATAGTGGAGTTAAGTGAACTGGAAAATGCAGAAACACACACAGTGCTGATCAATAACATGTAATCAAAAATAAAAGAAAAATCTTGCAATGGTAAAAAATAATAATTTAACAATTACTGTACAAGAGTACTTCAACAGATTCATGGAAGAATATGAAATGAAAATATATATTTATTTTGCTGCAAAAATAAATCCATGTATAACTTTTTCATATTCTGCATTTTCATGAATTTTTAATAACTGTGTACATAGATCTCAGAATTTTGCTGCAAAATAAGCTTATCCTGACATTTTAAAGATTTGTTTATTTGAAAATCAGAGTTATAGACAGAGATAAGAGAGAGAGAAAGAGACAGAGGTCTTCCATCCACTGATTCACTCCCCATTGGCCACAATAGCCAGGGCTGAGCCAGGACACAGCCAGGAGGCAGAGGCTCCATTTGGGTGGCAGGGGCACAAGCTCTTGGGCCATCTTCTACTTTTCCTTCTAGGCCATTAGCAGGGAGCTGAATCATAAATGGAGCAAATAAAACTTGAACCGTCACCCATTTGGGATGCCTACATTAGGGGCAAGTGGTTTTACATGCTATGCCACAACACTGTGGCATAAACTTATCTTTTCATTTCATTTTCCATGATCCTTTCAAAGTAATTTCATATTATTGTTTATCCATAAGTTAAATAATTGCTTCTACTATTTCACTGTAAGTCAATCATAGTATTCTGTGTCCTACTATGAATGAGGCACTGGGAGTCTAAAGACAGACGAAGATTTAGCCTTTGCCTCCCAAGCATTTACTTTCTACTAGGAAAGAGCAAATCAAGCACAGATACACCTGCAATCCAGATTGAACACAATTGATTTATATCGGGAGAACACACCCAGCTTGGCAGAAAAAGAGAACCAACAATAGCTCCACAGATAGGATAGCATCTGAGATGGGCATGAAAAACAAAGTAAAAATTCAACTTAAAAAGCTGATAGGGAGTGGGCATTTGATGCACTAGTTAAGATGCCAGCCTGGAACACCCATGTCCCCTACTGAACTCCCTGGTTAAAGTTCTGCCTCTGCTTTCAGTCTAGCTTCTTGCTAATGCATACCCCAGGAGGCAGCATGTGATGGCTCTATCAGTGTAGCAGATCTGGTTGGAGTTCCAGGCTCCTGGCTTCACCTGGCCCAGCCTTGGTTGTTGCAGACATTTGGGGAGTGAGCCTCTCTCTCTTTCTTTCTCTCCTCCAATTAAAATGAAAACAAATAACATTTTTAAAGGCTGGTTGAAGAAACATAGTGATTGAAGACATGAAGATGAGCTGAAATAGGAAGGTGGAGGGATATAAAGAGTTTAGAAGGAAGAGAGCAATGCTCTGTACTGAGCATAGGGCGTTTAGGAGTTTGGTGGAAGAGAAAACAAAGAAAAAGTTGATTGTGATTGTCTTGTAAAAACTAGATACTGAAAGTTTCTGAGCCCTGAAAGAATGTGATCAGATACGATTACCATGAAGAATAATGCAGGAGTAGGCAGAGATACGTAGGATTCTTTTTGGAGCAGAGACCCTGGCTGCAGAAAAAGCTACCCATCCCTTCCTTCCACAGATGTTAATTGAATACTTACTATGCGTCAACGCCTGGGCCACTTTATCCTAGCTGGGAGGCAAAGTCCCCAGTTTAAAAACTGTATGTAAAAGAAGTGGATTCTATAGGGCTTACTGGATGTACAAAAGATGGAAGTGGAGAAGTAAAGTGGACCACAAGTCTGAGGGCCAAAAGACAATGGGAGGAGGAGGTGGTGGTGCTTATGGACAGAAACAGCTGGGTCAGGAAGGGAGACTTGGAGGGCAGCAGATGGAGACAGAGGCAGGGTTGGTGCAAGTGTTGCTGTGCAGGTCATGCACCTCTACATTCCCCTACAGAGCAGCAGCCAGAAGTCAGAAGAGACTCAGGGGAGCTGACAGAGTGTCCACTATCAAACAAAAGCCTTAGGGAGGCAGCAGAGAAACCGGCTTGAAAGGAGAGTTGATGTTTCTTGGATGTTCTAGAAGACAGAAAGGGATGAATAGTGAGAAATTTTACCTATTAAACTCTCCCTTGGAAGTTTGAAAGTCTGGAAAATAATTCATCTAGATGCTGTATTGCTAGGAATCAGCCAGAATTTATAAAGTTTTCTTTTTTCTCTCTCCCTCTTCTTTTCCAAGAGGAACTATCACATTATGGTAGCCTCTACATTGAAATGTGATGTAAATAATTGTCAATAGCAACCAGTATGCTTTCCTCATACTTCAGTCACTTACTACTCAGAGGTTACAATGTCATATGAGCTGATCATGTATCTTCCCCACGATTTCTATATTTGGGGCCAAGATGACAGTGCTCTCTTGCTCTCACTCTCTTCTCCGCACACCTGTAGTATTGCTAGGTTTTACTTCTTCCTGAAGTAAAAACTTCAAGAGTGTGTGTGTGTGTGTGTGTGTGTTCATGGAGCAGGGCTTGGCTTAGCTATTAGGATGACTGCATTTTATTATCAGAGTACCTTGTTTAGATACCCAACTCTACCCACAATTCCAGCTGCCCGCTAACGCAGACCTTGGGGGGCAGCAAATGATGGATCAGATTAGTTGGGCTCTTGCCACTCTCCTAGGCCACCTGGTTCCAACCCGACCCAACCCTGGTGCCCTCAAGCATTTGAGTTTTGAACCAGAGGATGGGAGCTCTTTTTCTTTGCTTTTCAAATGCATCAATAAGTAATTTCTAAAAATGCACACTGCAGTATTTGACAGAAATTCAGAACCTTTGAATTTCTCATGGAGGACGTATGTCCAGTCCCGGGGATTAACACTGCTAAATGTATCAGGTTGGCAAAAGTGGTCTGGAATTTCCCAAGACAAGCTGGAAGTGTGAGGAATTACAATCTGGGCGCCTCACCTTTTCCTCCTCTGGTTGCTTGTCCCCCATGCACTGACTCCTGCTAGCTTATTTACTGAGTAATTAACAAAAGATAACCTCCCATTGTGCAACCTTCAATAAATCAATCGTGTTAATACTATCTTGGAATGTCCCCCACTATTGACTTTCATATTGTTTACATTAGACACTTAAGAAAGTCAGAACCCTTGAGCTGGCTTGTGCAGGCGTTAATGGATTCTGGAGTAGCCATTCTACCCACAACTCTCTACAAAGTACGTCCCCTTCCCTGAGGGGCACCCGCTTTCTCAACACCTTGTCCTCCCCACAGGATCCCGCAGCCCCAAGTGTGACATATACAGAAATGTTTGCCGCCATTTAGGACGCACCTACTTCTTTGAGATTTGAATAATCTATTTCCACCCACCGAGAGCCCCCCCACACACACACACTGCCAACCACCCTCAACAATCTGGGCAATCAAATTAATCTTCAATTATGTGAAAGAATTTCAGGAACGAGCACAGCTCAAGTTACCAAGGAACTTGCCCTTGTGACAAGATTCCTACTGCAAGCAGCTTCAACCCAGGGCACGTGGTGAATTTTCCCCAATAGCATCGGCGCAATCTTTCTAATCAGTAATAACCTCCACATGGGAACCTCAAAAAGTTCAAAAGTTTGTTTCAAAATGAATGTTGCAAAAGGTTCATCCTACAGGACCACCAGACTCATGAAACGAGGTTGAATACAATGACCATCACCTACAGTTCCGACTAGCACTTCCTCTTTCACGACCCTAGAAACCTTAGAGGGCAGACCTTTTCCAAGGAGTCCCCGGCTGTACCTGCCTGCCTGCCTGCCTGCCTGCCTGCCTGCAAAGACACTTTGCTAAGGCCCCAAAAGTAGGGCGATTAAAAAGGAAGGAGGGGGAACACCAGGCCCGGGACTTAGGAAGGTTCAGATTTCAGTGCTGGCTGCAGACCTGGGCAAAGTTCACTGCTCCCTTTTCACGACATGCTACATACTTTTCAAGTTCCCACTTGCTTCTTAGAGAGGAAAAAATGTGGCCTGCGAGTTCAGGTTGCTAAGGACAAGCTGAGCCAATTTAACCATGCATTCCTTTCCGAGAAGATAGGCTGGCTGGTGGTTGTTTCGCCGTAAATACCAGCAAGACTTGGTCGTCCCCACTCTAAACAAACACTTTTGCTCCAACTTTGAAGCCTTCTTTCTTCCCCTGTGGAGAGTGAACTCTTTTATTCAGTATGTTCTGGCCTAAATCTTGACAAATCTAAATACTAATCTGCTTTGCAGCACATCTTCTTATCAGGGACCTGGCACATGACTATTGGAGAATAAAAGAAAGCTCTCATTGTTCCACGGCTGTCTTTTTGGTCTTTCTTTTTTACTTTGCTTTTCTTTTTCTTTCTTTTTTTTTCTCCCCTTGCTTTGACCTCATGATATATATGTCTACTTAGGGTGTTTTGAAGAGGGTGAAGGAATCAGACAGGACTTTGAAAGGAAAAACAGACAGCAAATTGGCTGTCTCTTGAAGACCCTTCCGTGACCCTGCACTGAATACCTCTAATGGACATGTGTGATCTCGGAGCCTCCTCTGTGATAAACAAGTTTTACACCTTCCACTTGTTTGCCCAGCAGAATTCTTTATTATCCTGTAAATTTTTTTAATAAATGAGTGAGGCATCCCTATAGGTATTCTTTAAATGCCTGAAGCATCTGTATCTTACAAGAAAGGATAAGGAGGGTTTCCAATTTTACAGCTAAAAAATTAAAAAAAAAAAAAGAATTTGGGTCAATCATGGAATTAAATTTACATTATATTCTAAAAAAGCATCTTTGGCTTTCTTTTTTTTTTTTTTTTTGGGTTATGGCTTTTTTTTTTTTACAAGGAAAGCATATATTTGCACTCAAAGCAATAGTTCCTAAATCTAAAAAGTTCAAAAAGTCAGTTAGGAGGCCATCAACTCTACTTTGAAAATTAATAACTCCCAGGGCAGTTTTTACATGCAACCTTGGAACTTCCTGGGCTGTAAACCATCCTGGGGTCAAGCTGGAAAACAGAAGGAGTCCATTCAGATCCTCTGTGGGTCAAAAAACACAGGAGACGACTGGAGAGGCTTTATTAAGTGACATGGAGGAGCAGGGGGAATAGGGATGCCCCCACTTCTGTTTTTGTCAAATGCTCCTCACCCTGGCAGGAGAGCTTTGCATTACCTGCCCACCTGCCTGAGGGCCCCTGGGCTCCGTCACCTTCCCTCTCTCCCACTGGCTGGCGTTTCTTCCCCACTGTCATTCTTCCTTTACTCCCATGCTGACTTTTTTTCAACTTATCTTCTCAAGTCAGTCAAGGCTGCCACCATGTTGCTCCAGCTCCTGCCGGCTCTGCTTCCTGGGACACCTGTTCAGAGGGACATCCTAATCTCCAAATATCCTGCAGTTCCACTTTCTCTTCAGATGAGTTCCACGCCACCTCTTCAGATTCTGACAGATTAAATACAGCATCCCCCAAAGAGTTTCCAAAATGGATTAGGTTTAAAATTTGGTGTTTGTCAATATTTAGCTGAGCATGTCCAACGGGATGGAGAGTACTGCTCAGTGATTGTGCAAGTCTAATTGGAAATCATACCAGAACTGCGTTTTAGGCATGAAGAGAGACCTCTTGTCCATTTACTCTCCCCCTCCCCCTGCCCATCCCCCCCACCATCCACAACACACCCTCACGTCAGACCCACTGGCAGACAAGACTGATGTGGTGTAATTAAAAAAAAAAAAAAAAAGCACACACTGAAAGCACAAGGTGCTATCTTATCTGAGCCTTGATTCCCTCATCTGGAAAATGAAGGTGTTGCCAGAAATAATTGTGGAGTTCCCTTCCAGTACTCTTTTGTGCCTTCATATTGTACTTAACCACTGCTAGGGGCCATCCTCACTGCCAGCTAACAGAGAAAAAGTAAGAGGAGCAATTAAAAACACCAGTCAAGATAAACAGGCCTGGGAAAACAAATGTCAGAGACAAAGTAAACACAGTCTACATTGTAGTGTAAGTGTCAGAACCAGGGGTGAGGAGGTCCCCGGGGAGGTCGGCTGTAGTCAACTCAACCTGCTGCCTCTTTTCTCAGCAGGCAGCAGCAATCATGATGCCTGAAACCCCACAACACCTGGGCACAACAGGATAATAGTCCCTCAGCTAAACAACTATTCAACACTGCCTAACAGGTGAACAGAGCCCCTAGGAGGAATCACATCCTTGCTGGGTACTTTGGAGTGACATGTTTTTGCTTTCCCAAGCAAGCTTCCTACTCCTCACTTTCTCCTATGGAGAAAGAGTTGAGGCCAGCACCACGGCTCACTAGGCTGATCCTCCGCCTACAGCGCCGGCACCTCGGGTTCTAGTCCCAGTTGCTCCTCTTCCAGTCCATCTCTCTGCTGTGACCCCGGAGGGCAGTGGAGGATGACCCAAGTGCTTGGGCCCTGCACCCGCATGGGAGACCAGGAGGAAGCACCTGGCTCCTGGTTTCAGAATGGCACAGCGTGCTGGCCGTAGCGGCCATTTGGGGGGTGAACCAACGGAAGGAAGACCTTTCTCTCTGTCTCTCTCTCTCTCACTGCCTATCTCTGCCTGTCAAAAAAGAAAGAAAGAAAGAGTTGAAGTGATATGGCAACCGGTGAACATCACAGAGGCCTCATTGTTAATAAAATACTCTGAGAGATGAGTCTAAGATCCAAGGTCAGGAGAAATCAAGTGGAAACAAAATACTCTTTGCAGTCAAAGGGAGCACATAAACAAGTCTAGTATCTGCTAATACTAACTGATAGAATAAATAAAGGGGAGAGTGATCCAACATGGGAAGTGAGATACTCAGCAGACTCATAGAATGGCGGATGTCCTAAATAGCACTCTGGCCTCAGAATCAGCCCTAAAGGCACTCGGATCTGGCTGAAAAGCCCATGAGAGTATTTCAGGCATGGAAAGCCAAGACACTCTGGCAAAAAGATCTCTGTGAGTGAGATCCCAGTGGAAAGAACAGGTCTTCAAAGAGGGAGGTGCCTTTCTCTGAAGGGAGGAGAGAACCTCCACTTTGACTATGACCGTGTCTAGTCGGAGTCGGAGAACTCAAGGGGCTTCCATAGCCTTGGAAACTCATGACTGGTGCATAGGGAGATTACTGATGCCATAAACAGGAGTGTCAATTTGTAAAGTCAACAACAGGAGTCACTGTGCACTTACTCCTCATGTAGGATCTCTGTCCTTAATGTGCTGTACACTGAGGCTTAATGCTATAACGAGTACTCAAACAGTATATTTCACTTTGTGTTTCTATGGGGGTGCAAACGATTGAAATCTTTACTTAATGTACACTAAACTGATCTTCTGTAAAAAAAAAAAAAAAAAAAAAAGAAATTATCAATTCCCAACTTGACTCTCACTGGGATTAAACATGACAATAGGTCTGATCTGATTTCATCATCATTTAAAAAAAATCATTTATTATTTTTCACTTTATGTTTCTGTGTGGGAGCAAACTGTTGAAATCCTTACTTAAGGTATACTAAGCTGATCTTCTGTATATTAAGATAATCGAAAATGAATCTTGATGTGAATGGAAGGGGAGAGGAAGTGGGAAAGGGGAGGGTTGTGGGTGGGAGGGACGGTATGGGGGGGGAAGCCATTGTAACCCATGAGTCGTACTTTGGAAATTTATATTCATTAAATAAAAGATAAAAAAAAATACTCTTTGCCTTACAATGTAAGCTATGCTAACATTAACAACTAGACTATCCTGCTATTTCTTCTCAGGTTTCAACAACAGTGTCAGGGTTGACGTACAGGGCATTAAATTCAAGAAAACAATGATGTTTAGAACAAGACAGCATCTAAGCGACTATGAGTCCAGCCTCCCAGGAAAAGCAGCAATGTCTTTCACAAAGTTCCCACACAGACCCAGGCAGCCTCCAGGGGGTCCCCAGAACAACAAAAATGAGTGACAATGATGATAATAAACACTTATTTTGCATCTATCATGTGCCAGGCACTGTGCTGTGTATCCTGAGCACCAGCTGTGAGCCAGCATCATTCTGAAAACTTTCTATACACTACTATTCAACCTTGGAAATGCCTTTAGGAGGTAGAGTCTATTATCACTCGTATTTTATAGATGAATAAAAGGAGACAGAAAGGTGTTGAATCACTTTCTTGGAGTCACACGGCTAAACATGGAAGAGCTGGGGGACTGAAGTAAACAGACCAGCCCTGGAGCTTCCCTCCCCTCTCTCCCTTTTAAAGATTTATTTATTTATTTGAAAGGCAGGGTGGGTTAAAGAGAAAGGGAGAGAGAGAGAGAGAGAGACAGAGAGAGAGAGATCCTCTATCTACTAGTTTACTCTCCAAACTGCTGCATGCAACAGTAGGGGCAACAGGCCAAATCTGAGAGCCAGTAACTCCATCTGGATCTCCCATGTGGGTGACAGGTCCAAGCACCTTGGCCATCATCTGCCGCCTTTCCAGGTACATTAGCAGGAAGCGTAGGTGCCAACTGGCACTCCCACCTGGAATTCTGCACTCAAGCAGTAGCCCAATACCTGCACCACAATGCCACACCCTGTGATTTTTACATTTTTCTTTGAGATTTATTTTTTTTTGAAAGCCAGAGTTATATATAGAGAAAAAGAAGCAGAGAGAGACCTTCCATCTACCGGTGCACTCCCCAGATGGCTGCAATTGCCAGGGCTGAGCCAGGCCGAAGTCAGGAGCTTCATCTGGGTCTCCCACATGGGTGCAGGGGCCCAAGCACTTGGGCCATCTTCCGCTGCTTTCCCAGGGTATTAGTAAGGAGCTGCATCAGAAGTGGAGCAGCCAAGACTTAAACCAGTGCCCATGTGAGATTCTGGTGTTGCAGGCTGCACTATCCCACAACACTGACCCAAATGCCAACCCCCCTTAACTCTAGGCTACCAACAGAGGCAGGGGAGAGAGACAGGGCGAAGAGTTGGAGTCCATTTCAACTCCAGTTAATAGGAATATCAGTTTTCTGAGCAAAACCTGCCTATTAAGTCTTCATGGTGCACACTAGCCCTACACAGAAAAATAAATATCCCTGTTTAGCAGTCCTTCATATCAGAGCCTGGAAAATGATGCATTGTGGGCCAAATCCTGCCATCATCAGTTTTTTTATAGAGGCTATGGGCTAGGAATTAATTTTAAATTTTTAAACAGTTGGGGGAAAATCAAAAGAAGAATAATACTCTTGACACATGAAGATCATAGGAGATGTAAATCTCAGTGTACATAAAAGGATGTTTTATTGGAACATAATCACACTTCATTTACATATTGTCTATGGCTGCTTTCCTTTTACTACAAGGTCAGAATTAAATAATTGCAATAAAGACTACATGGCTCAACAAACCTTAAGATACTTCTTAACTGTGAATTGCAGGAAATACTTGCTGACCCTTGCACGAAAATTGTTCTCATGTCCTTTCCTAAATGTACTCTTTGTTTATGGTCAAATATCTCAAGTCCATCTCTTCTTCCTTCCTAAAAGCTCTTCTCTGGCATGCCTTTAGCACCACACATTCTCTCTCATAAAATAGTTCTCAGTGTTTTCATGAAGTGGGGTACTACTCAGCAGTAAAAAGGGACAAACTACAAAAGAGACACACAACAACCCAGCAAATCACCACAATATGACACCAAGTGAAAAAGCCTTACCCAACTTATTCTTACCATGTTCTTGATGGATATGAAATTCTAAAACAGATAAGAGGACTCCATGGTTAAAAAATATAAAAAGTATGATTGACTTTGAGAAAATGGGACATGACTTGTTTGGGATGGGCATGAGGGAATGCTCTCAGACAATGGGAACATTCTTGGCCTTGACAGTTGTTTGGGTCACATAGTTGGACACGATTGCCAAGAATTCAGCAAAATGTTCACATACTGTTTGTACATTACATGATAGCTGGTGCAAGAAAACATGTAAATAAATACTGAACTCTGGTTAATGATCTGCATGCCAAAGTGTGTACGGGTGCAGTGCAGCAGTATGTGCAACATATTTTGAAATGCATCAGAAAATCAATGGCCAGATGACTGGATAGAAAGATGGGTCAATGGTCAAAAATGTGATAAGCAGGGGATATAAAATGTTGTTTGATGAAAGTGAGCAATGGGTACATGCACATTCATTGTCTAATTCTTTTAGTTCTTATGTTCAAAATTCAAAAAAATAAAATTTAAAAATCAGAATAAGATATTCATAATAAGATGGGAAAGAGGGGAATCAATGTAATGCCCATTATGAAATCAACTCCTCCAAACGCGGCACACAGTGACATCATCATTTCCCTTCCCTTGGCCATTATCATGGGAGCTTTATCTTGCCTTAGTGCACATTATTGGACCCTGCAGTATCCTACCTTACACTGACCCAAAGAGCCTCCTTTTAAAAAAGTTATTTATGTGAAAGGCAGAGTTACAGAGAGAGAAGAGAGACAGACAGAGAGAATCTTCTATCCATTGATTCACTCCCCAAATGACTGCAACAACCAGGGCTGGGCCAGGTTGAAGCCAGGAACCGAGAGCTTCTTTAGGGTCTCCCATGTGGGTTGCAGTGGCCCAGGGACTTGGGCCATCTTCTGATGCTTTCCTAGGCATTAGCAGGGAGATGAATTGGAAGTGGAGCAACTGGGACTCGAACTGGCACATGTATGGGATGCTGGGGCTGCAGGCCAGCAGCCTAACTCGCTGTACCACAGTGCTGCAGTTCCTGCCACCCTCACTCCCACAAAGCCACTTCTTGCTCTGTCAGGACTAGTGCTAGGAATGTATTGTGTGACTCCACGGAGGAGTCCATCTTTTATTTTTTTTTGTTCATTTTACAATAAAATATTGCATAAAATGAAAAGCGCAGAAATATCCCCAATGAGCCGCTTAGCCCTCTGTGGAAAGCCATAGAGATTCCATTAGTGAGTTTACAATCTTGCTCATGAAAGTCTAGAAAAAAGAATGTGAGTTGATCACAAGTGGATTCCTGGCCTTTGCAATCTTACCAGTAGATTGTCATATATTTCTCTTATTCGGGTTCACTATCATTTCGCAAACAATGTGCTTGCCACTGTCACAAACATCAGATGAGTGTGTGTACGTGATAAAAGAAAATGGAAAAAGTCCTCAAAACACTTAGCATAATCTCTGGATTAACTGTTTCCTTACCTCTGCAGTATATAATCTGCAGGCTGACTCGGTTGCCTTCATGCAATGCCAATATTATTATTAGAAATAACACAAGCATGCTTCAACTATTTGTAGGTCAATTACCTGAAAAGTTCCAATTTCTGATGGAAACTCCAAGCCAAGGGAGTAAGCAAGAAAAATCCCAAGAGCAGTCAAAGCAGCAGCCAAAAGGGGCCAGCTTTGTGTGACAGCACTTGGAGCCACTGTTTGAGACCCAGCATCCCAGATCAGAGTGCCAATTAGAGTCCTGGCTGCTCCACTTCTGCCACAGCTTCTTATTAACGTGCCTGGTAAGGCAGCACATGTTGGTCCAAGTGCTGGCACCCCTGCCATTCACATGGGAGAGCCAGATGGAGTTACTGGCTCCTGGCTTCCACCTGGTCCAGACCTGCCTGTTGTGGCCATTTGAGGAGTGAACCAGCAGAGGGAAAATCTCTGTCTGTCTGTCTGTCTCTCTCTCGTTATCACTCTTTCAATAAATACATAAATCTATTTTAAAAAGACAGCTGCAGAAGTATTAGTGTCAAGCTTGTTTGTTGATGAGAGAATCTCCACAGTCAAAACTCATAGTCCTACAACTCGTACTTTGGCAAAATGGTGACAAGCCTGGATTTCCACAACACACCCTGAAAGAGGCTGTGTGTACATGGTCATGGTGGAAACAGCAAGAGCCTGAGAATTAGTAGCCACCGTTCAGAGCTCAAAATCTAAGAGAGTTTGGGAAGATGGAATGTAGAAGCAAAGAAAGCTCACTCATGTTCATGCTACCAAATCTGTATTTTATGAACTATCATCCTAGAGTTATAGCTTCACAGAATATTAAAAATGTTCCTTAAAATAAGAGGAGGATCTATTAGCAGGTAAGTTTATGAAACATTGGCCCAGCAGGTTGTCCTTGAACATTTCAGTTGTGGTCCTACAGTGGTCTTTCTACTTTTTACTTGCTGAACACTTCATTTAGTGGAGCATTAAGCCTTTGGCTATAAAGTAAATTAAAAACAAGTTATCAGAAAAATTGAGAGAACAAAAGATCATTACATTATTAGAGGGCTCTCCAGGAACTACCTTAAATCTGTTCTCTTTATTTTAATAAAATATAAGTAAAAAATTATGGTCCTAGCAAGTTCTAAGCATTGATTTTTTGTTTTTCCTTTTTCCATTGTGCTTGTCTTCTGAGTTGGCTAAAACACCTGCACACTGTTTCCTTTCTTTGCTGTAATGATGTCCATCAGTCAGCCTCCATCTTCTCCCCCAGTTTTCTTTGGACAGGTGTTTCCTCCCATGCCTCAAACTTTATCTTCCCTTGTTTTGTGCAAATTCCAGGCAACATTTCTAGCTGATACGGATGACTTCCAAATCACCCACATGCTCACTTTCTCTCCCACTTCCGCCAGTTTTCACTTCCTGCTTCCTTCCGCCGTCTCTTTCCTCCCCACCCTGTGTGCCAAGTGTCCTTTGCCTGGGCTCCACCTGGAAGTCCTTCCTGCACTTCCTCTTCCTCTCACAGCTCTGCAGTTTTTGCTGCTCTTGTTCATTCTCCTCCAGCACATTGGCTTCAGATCTTGAATCCCAATCACTCTTCCCCTACCACATCTCACATTTATGCCAGGAGCCGCCTGAGAATCTCTCTTCTCTTCTCATCCGTACTGTGCCAGCCACTTGACCTGCAGCACCCACATACCCTGACAGAGCCCAGCAGTCTGCACGGGGTAAGGAATGTTGCTACATTTCCCTTCCCTGGGCACCCCCAGTGTCTGGAGCTACAGGGCTCTTGACAGAGGATGTCCTCCACCTTCTCAGCCTCTGGCTTCAACCCAGCAGAGCTGTGCTCAGCCTTCAATCCTGTCTCTAATTCACTTGTCTCAGTTGCTCAGTTTCTCTGAACCTTTGTGTTCTTGACTTGGCCTGAGGTTGAGGGCAGGCAATGAGGCCATGTTTGTGCAGGTTGTTCATCACTTCTGAGGTGCGATAGTGTCTGTCTTTCACTTGATCTTTGTTCATATTGAAGACCTGGGAGGAGCACTCCCTGCTCTTCCCTGTTCTTAATTTTTCCTGGTTCCAATGAGCACCCACCCCATTCCCATTGTGATCAGAAAACAGGCTCAGTAGCTGTGAGACTGCTAGCAAAGTGTTTACACGTGCGTCTCCAGTCTCCAACAATCTGGTAGAAAACCTGGCTCTGTCGTTTAGGAGGTGTAGGATATCGCAAAAGTCCATTAACCTTCATGTCCTCAGTCTTCCGTTCTTCAACACGGAGATGACAGAGGCATGGCCACTATCAGAAGGCGGCTACAATGACAGCAGGAGAGTCAGGAAGCGTCTGCCTTTGTGCTTGCCCTGCCTCTCTGCCCCTGCCTCCTTGGCCTGCTTGTGCTCCTCCAATCCCCATCTCTTCTGGTGGTCCCACTCCTCCCATAATTCCCGTGCAGTGCAAGCTGCTGCTCCCCACCCACCCAGGGAAATCTCTGGGGGAAAAGTTCAGACTTTGAAGCCTCCGAAGACCTGCCCCTCCTTCAGCTGCTGTCTCCGTGGCTCCTCCCGCCTCCTGTAGATTCCTCGCTGGCAAACTCCCCATGTTTTCACTGTCTTCCTGATTACAGAGCCTGTCAAAGTGGAGGATAATTTACTGATATATTAATTTGTGTTTTTATCTCAGTGTTTGCCGGCTCTCAGCTCTACAAAGGAAGCCAGGCCTTTCTATGCCCCTGCCTCAGGGGAGGTTTGTTTTAAGAGGCCAAAGCCAAGACACCTGGCTTTTGTTTCCTCAAAGCCCACACTCTGGGAGGAGATAATGCCAACAGGGAGGAAGAGGAGAGAAGTTCGGGGCTTTTGAGAGTAGGGAGAGAGAAGGAGGTTTGGAAGGTGGGATGAGGGTGAAGGCCAGAGCTCCAAGCCAGTAGCAGGGCCTGGCGTTATAATCCGTGACAGCCTCTGGGAAGTGGCAGGGACTCCAAGAGGGTGGTGGTGGCTATCGGACGAGAGTGGACCTCCAGAATCTTGGCCCAGACTCAGCAAAGTTCTATCCAACGCTCCCAGCACCCAAGAAGAGCACAGGAGCAGGAAAGCTCAGGCCGGCTGGGACAGCAGCAAGCAGAGGAGACAGGGACAGTCCAGCTGCAAGTCAGCATCGCACATCTGTGGACTGCTCAGAATGTGCCAAGCCCCATTCCAAGACCTTACGAGACAACCCTGGACTCCTAGGGACACAGAAGAGGAAACCAAAATAGCTTGTCCATGATCACACACCTAGGATGCAGCGAAGCCAGCTAGAAGTATTGACAAAGCCATGAATTTATTGCAAAATATTAAGTATAAAATCCTGTATGGGTCAAAACCGGCATCACCAAAACTGTAAACGCAGTGCACTTTGAGTGCCCCTGGAAGGCAGACCACAGCAGGCCTAGATTCTTCTAGCGGTGACCAGCTCTGCCACAGCTGCCGCCCAACTGTATCCTGAGGATGGAAATGCTATCCTCCTCCACATGACACAGAGCGGAGTGCGCTCACACTATCAGCAATCCAGCAGAGAGCCTGCAGTGCCATTTCTTCTTGGCAATAATCCAGCTTCCTAATGTTGCCAGTGAACTTCACTCAACGTGGCTCAGTCTTACTTTTCTCACCTGTGAAATGGGGTTAAAGGAATCATGTACTACAGCAGTCAGAATCAATGAGGATTGTGCAAGAATTAGGAGCTACGGTCGCAGGGTCTACAGTGGCAGTCACACTGCATACCTCTGTGACCCAGATGCTGTGCCGGGAGCTGAGTCCTTGCAACAGGGCCTCCATGGTCTAGTTGGAGGAGAGACTTGAGCTTTCAGTGCAATGTGTGTGTGCTGCAAATGGAACAAGCCCAGTATCCTATGTGGCCCAGAGCAAGGGCTCTATCCATGTGCAGGGTGGGAATGAGAGCAGGTTTCCTGCAGAAGTTAATGGCCCGAGTCTTTACAAACAACAGTAACCTCTGCCTGCCCCACTCCCACTTCACCCTTCAGGAGTGGATCCTGGGCCTAAGCACACTCCAAACACTGCCACAGCAGTTACTGTGGGAGTTCTGTGCCACGCGTAACTTGCATCATCCTGGGCCATGCACCAAGCCAGCAGTGATGATGCCAAGAGCGCTTGGGGCTGCCGGCACATTCCATAAACCCAAACTCCCAGCACTTCTTGGAATAAGGCATGCAAAGGAAATTTTCCATGTGTCAAGTAAGTGCATTGACCATGTGACATAAAAAGGAAATGTAAATGTGGGAGTCTGACGGGCAAAGTTCAGAAACCTCTGGTTTTGATACCCAGATAGAGATCTGCAAGTTATTATGAGCACTTGATTTCCAAAATCCAGAGGTGGTGAAGAAACGCCTGCCTGGCACATCAGAGAGAGAGAGAAAAAGAAGAAAAAAAAAAACACTTCACTGAGTAGTAGTCCTGGGAAAATACTTAATTTCCAGAGCAAAAGGTACACATGCAATGGGCTCCAGTAGCAACCAACTATTCTACTTCACTCTAATTTCAACCCCCACCCCAACAGAAGTGCAGCGTTCAGAGAATGATCTGTATTTTGACTGCTCTCCCTGCAAATGCACTGGACGAGGAGGTTGCAACACTAACCTTGACTTTGAATTGCTTTTCAGTGCAGCTTTTTGCCAAGTTAGCATAAAATCCCGATGCCCATTTCCCTGGAAAGTGTGTGTTTTGTTGCCAGCAGGAGTGCGTCTACTTCTTCACTCTAAGGTACAAGGGGATCTACCTAAGTTAGAACAGCCCACGTCTAGCCCACAGCTTTGTTGATTATTGAATTCCCTGGGAAAGACAAGCTGAATTTTCCTTGAGCCTAGAAAACCTCTTTAGGATTTATATGCATGAAGAACAGCAGAGACACTGAGGCAGGCTTGAAGGAAACACATCACATGCAGCCCCAGCAAATCCCGTAGCCACATCCACCAGAGCCCAGCAAACATCCAGGCTCCAAAGCGCTTATCTCCTGCCCAGCCCCCAGCCCACCCCTCAAAGATTAGGAATACAATCGCTTGTGACAGATTGCTCCTGAGTCTTCCGCCTTAAATTCTATATGATAAATTCAACATGAAGTGACAGTCACAGCAAGTGTTCAGAGCTCTATCTAAAAAAACTAATTTTACTGAAGTTAGAACTCAATGAACGAGAAAATGTGAATGCACACCTAGGGCATACCTCAAAACTTTAATCTCTGTGAAAGCCATAATGGTTATTTATGGCTGGAATGATATTAACATTTTAAACTATTTCACTAAAGAAGCGCTGCGAGACTTTAAAATTGTATTGTTATGCAAAGACAATAATATTTCAATGGGTCCTTTCCCGTGTGGGTATGTTAATGGGGCAAGAAAAAGAAAAACAGCTGCTTTCGTTGGCCGCTCAGCAGCCTTGGCAAGACTGTCCTGGGGTTAATTTCTAAGAAAGAGCTCTTCTTCCTTTTTTATTATTTGAGGGTGAAAAAAAAATGTCTTGGGCTGCTATTGTCTGTTTAAATTAGGCAAATGCAATTTAGAAGAGTCAAATACACACAGGCTCCAATGATGGGTAAAATTAAGGTCACTGGTTGCAGCCCTAATCCAGCTGCATTGCTTAATCTCGGCTTTAGCCATTACAATTGTGGAAGAAAATATCTTGCTAGTGTTGGAGTTAATGTAGACTGACTGAGTAACCAGAGATAAATCCTATAGGCTTGCTTTAGTGTACAAGCACTGAACACTGATATATGGAAGAGGAAAACTGGTCTATTCCCCAGGACTAGGTCAGAGTCCTTTCCTTGTCCCCCCCCTCCCAACCTAAGCCTGGAAGTTAAAGAACTTTTTTCTTGCCAATTGTGGGATTTTTTTTCTTACCCCCCAGGGATCCTTGGATTTGCCATTTGTGTACACCTCTTGCTCATTCCACAGAGAAAGTTCTGTGTATTAATCTCTGTGAACAATAGCACTGTGCCACCTTCTCGTTTACATAAAGGATATACTTGTGTTACTTGATATTATTTTACTTTCTTAACCAACTGTTTCAGGCACTCAGAAGATATGAAGAGAACATTTAGCAAAAAAAATAAATAAATAAATAAATAAAAAAGGTTGACATTTACAGCCAGGAGCTGGGTACGCGATTGCAAAGGTCATCAATGAGTAAACAGATATTAATGGTTAGCCGGATAACTGGTACATAAACAGGTCACATTAATAATTAACACCAGGAAATACTAGCACTTTCAGCCAACCTCAGGAAGGTGGGTGCCCACAGAGGAGATATCCCCCACCCCCGGAAGAGGACAAGGAAGTCCAGTAGTACTTTCTGGGTGCTAGAAAGTAGAAACCTGGTTTTTCCATTTTCGCATGTCACATGTCCCCACCAAAAATTTTTAAAAATCGGTTTCACAATGGTCAGGATAACAGGTCTGTGGGATAATGGAGTAAAAACTTTCAGTAACCTTTCCCTTGATAAATTATACTCAGCCTAACACTGCAGTTTCCTTGTTTTCCTTCCAGAGTCATGTGCAAAGTTGCTCCAGAAATTTATTTTATCACTGACCTACAGTCTCTCTAAAAGTATCAGTTATTATGTGTGCCTGAGATGAAGGGGTTGCATTCTGCACATGCTACTGGCATTCACCCCAGCTTTCTAATTGGGAAAAGTCAAACTCAGATCTGTAGACAGGAAGACATATGAAGGGAGATCAGGCAGGGAACTCCTGTGAGTGAGGTGAGGCCCATGGACCCTGCAGAGCTGGGCACTGATTGCGCCTGAGCCACCCAGATCATTACCCTGCAAACCCAGAATATCACATCCTTTGATTTTTTTAAGCCAAATTTCTTGATTTCAGGACTTTTAAATCCTCACAACTCATTCAAAGTTTGCTCAGTTCAAACAGTATGCATCCAATACCAATGACATCAGGTCAGTGTAAATCTCTTGTTTAAATCTAAAACTATAATAAAGAAGCAAAGAAAAAAAATCCCTGAAAATTTATTAAGGAAGAGGAATGTTTGAGTATATATTTAAATTTTATTATGCAGTTTCTCTCCTCCATTAAAACAGAGTTCTGATAGGAATGTTTTTAAAGGAAAACTAATAAAATAAGACAATAGGCTTAATAGAGAGCTGGAACACCTAAAACTTATCCTCAGAATGATGTGAAGAAAACTCCGATGAGCTACTTTTGCACATGAGGCCTAATGGTTTACAGATGAGTGAGCAGCACTACTTTCAAATATATTGTGAGGAAACTGATTTTTTAAATAAATGTGTAGTTTGACTATCAAGCCCACAGGAGATATTGTGATGTGCCCAACCTGAAAATCAAATTATTTAAGGTTGGTTATACTAATAACAGCCTCTAACCAGCTGCTAAGGTGGACTATAAATCTAGACTAGCCAAAGGCAGCAGATGAGACGAGGTAAAGAGGGGATAGAAAGAAACAAGACACAAGCCTTGGTTACCAGCTGCATGCGGGTAGGCTTTGATGGGCATGTGCTGCACAGGGGCACAGGGATGGCATCAGAGACTGCCGCTGAGCGAGGCCAGGGGTCTGCCAGCCCCATCATATGGTCCTCTCCCCACATCTCCCCAGCCACATCCCACCACACTGTTTCTTCCCACTATGGACCACTATGGACCATGCTTCTCAGCTGCCCGCACCACCCTTAGCCCACGTTCTTCTCCACGCCACCCTCACGCTGGACACAGGAGGTCTTCCTCGGTCCTGTAAAATTCCCCTAAGTTCAAGTGTCGGCACCTCAGTCCCCTCCACGTAACCAGGAGCCCCTCGCAGCCTCTGGGATTGCCCCTCTGCACTGCAGACCTGGGTGCACACGTCATCACTCCACTGGACAACAAATTCCTCCGCAAAGGCAGAGGTCATGAGTTTCATCTTTGAACCCTATCCCCTAGCCCTGGCCTGAGTCTGCTTCCTGCATTGTGCTGTAACAGAATTCCTGAGAATGGGTAATTTATAAAGAAAAGACGTTTATTTTGGCTCAGGGAGCTGGAGCCTAGGGAGTCTGAGATTGGCAGCATCTGGTGAGGGCCAAATGCTGCTTCAACTCAGGCAGAGGAGCAGAGAAGTACACGTGGAAGATAGAAAGGGCTGAACCCCGTGATAGGCAGCTCGCTCCAGTGAGGACACTATGAATCCACTCATGACCCTCCAAACACTGCTGCGCTGGGGACCAGGCTCCAACAGGGGTCAGGTGGGGTGAGGGACAAACTACTCAAAACATAACACATGTGCTTGGGAAACAGCACCCTAGTGTTGAACAAAAGCATAAATGCGTGAGATGAATGGGTCTCCAGACTCTAATGCTTAGAAAAGAGAATTGAAAAGTAAAATATTAACAAGGGATCTGTTCAGCTTTATTTTCCTGGTTTAAATCTTTGCACATATTCACGGCAATACTTTTGTGATAGCAAGTTTTATTTTGATGAATATTAGTAGTAGTAGTAATAAAATATCCAGTGATTGAATTCTTTAGTTCTTGCTTTAGGCTCAGGGATTGGTTGAGGAAACTACATAAAATGATATACAAGAGTACTTCAAAAAGTTCATGGAAAAATAGAAGTAAAACATAAGTTTTATTTTGATGCAAAAAAATTTGAGATCCATGCATACTCTTTCCAATGTATATACTTTCTGTGTACCTTTCCTTTTTTTGATAGAGATGTATGTACATTTATTTACTTATTATTTATTTATTTGAGAGACAAAGAACAGACACAACTGACAGACAAAAAGAGAGCTTCCACCCACTCCCCATATGCCCACAAAGGCTGGACCTGCACTGGGGCGAGATACAAACCCTGGTACTCTGTTGTGGGATGCAAGTGTCCCAAAAAGCATCTTAACCCGTGGACCAAACACCTGCCCTGCTGTGAACTTGATGAGATTAACCACCCGATCAGTGGTGAAGCCCCACTTCAATCTGGAGTGAAGGGTCAGCCCTGAGCATGGCCTTCCCCACTCTCCTCTCTGCTTCTACTGAAATCCCCTGTCTGCTGCTTTGACACAATTTGTGTAGCAACACAGACCCGGCACTCTCTCAGGATCCCCAGAGCTCACACAGGATTTCTACACCTTCTCCACCACATAGAAAGTACTTGCTCAATTTTATAGTGCCACAATGGATGCCCCAAACATCACGGCAATTTCTTTCATTCAAATCATACAAAGGGCCATTAGACAAGACATAATATGAAAGGAAAAAAGGAGAAATAGAAATCACTACTGGGCTACTACTTAGTAGGCACTCCAGACACTTGGTTTTGATCGCCTCATAGGTTACTTAGGATAACCCTATGAAATGGCCAACATTGCTCTTATTTTGCATGGAAAGAACAAGTCTCATGAGTTGGGTATGAACCCAGCACACCATACCAAGATCCCGCACTCCAGGACTTAGCTATCTAGAACATCAGATGGCGCAGTATCAGTGACCGAGAGAAGTGAACAAAAACTCGGGCAGCATCTGTCAAAGCCCCAGGCTCCAGGGAAGAGACTGAGGTTCCAAGGGAGGGGTATGGCCAAGGCCAGAGACAGTGAAAAAGTACATTAGTCAGGGTTGGCTCACTTGGTTAATCCTCCACCTGCGGCGCTAGCATCGCATATGGGCGCCGGTTCTAGTCCTGGTTGCTCCTCTTCCAGTCCAGCTCTCTGCTGTGGCCCAGGAGCGCAGTGGAGGACGGCCCAGGTTCTCGGACACCTGCACCCACATGGAAGACTAGGAAGAAGCATCTGGCTCCTGACCATCTGGGGGGTGAACCAACGGAAGGAAGACCTTTCTGTCTCTCTCTCTCTCACTGTCTATAACTCTATCTGTCAAAAAGAAAAAAAAAGTACATTAGTCAAAGAGACACATAATCATAAGAAGGCTGTTGCTATTCATATCAGCAAAAATATAGCTCAATCAAGGTGTCCATCAAAGGATGAACGGATCAAGAACATGCACATGTGTGTTTTGTATGTGTATGCACGCAATAGAATACTATTTTTAAGCAATGCAAAAGAGTGAACTCCTGCCATTCACAGCAAAATGGATGGAAATGTAGAGAACAATATGGTAAGTAATAAGTCAGGCACAGAAAGACAAACACCGCCTACCACATTATTTCACTGGTGTGTGCTCTAAAAAAGTTGATCTTAAAGAAGCAGAGGAGCTGGCACTATGGCATAGTAGGTGAAGCCGCCACCTGCAGTGCCGGCATCCAATATGGACGCTGGTTCGAGTCCTGGCTGCTCCACTTCCTATCTAGCTCCCTGCCTGGAAAAGCAGTAGAAGATAGCTCAAGCCCTTGGGCCCCTGCATCTGTGGGGTAAACCTGGAAGAAGCTCCTGGCTCCTGGCTTTGGACTGACCCAGCTTCAGCCGTTGCAGCCATTTGGCAGTGAAACAGTGAATGGAAGACCTCTCTCTCTCTCTCTCTCTCTCTCTCTCTCTGTAACTCTGCCTCTCAAATAAAGAAATAAATCTTTTAAAAAAGAAGAAGAAGAAGTAGAGAATTGGGGCTGGTGTTGTGGCATAGCATCCCATATGGGCTTCGGTTCAAGACTTGGCTGTTCCACTTCAAATTCAGCTCCCTGCTAATGCACTTGAGAAAGCAGTGGAAGATGCCCAAGTGCTCGGGGCCCTGCACCCACGTGGGAGACCTGGAAGATGCTCCTGGCTCCTGGCTTTGGCCTGACCCAGCCCCAGCCATTGTGGCCATTTAGGAAATGAACCAACGGATGGAAGATACATCTCTCTTTCTCTCTCTCTCTCTCTCTCTCTCTCTCTCTTTCTGTGTGTGTTATGATACATTTCAAATAAATTTTTAACAAAATAATTCATTTTTTAAAAAAGTAAAGAATACAATAGTAGTTACTAAAAGCTGGGAAGAGTGAGGCAGAGAAAGGGATGGAGGGAAGATGGTTAACAGGAGAAGCACTGGGTAGGAGGAATAAGTATTGGTTGACAACAAGTAATTGTATATTTCAAAATAACTAGTAGAGAGGATTTGTTTATTCCCAAAGCAAAAAAATAAATATTTGAGATGATGTATATGTCAGTTGCCCTAATCTGACCATTACACATCCTATGCATATATTGAAATGTCATCTTGTACTTCAGAAATAGATATGATTACTAGGTATCAATTGAAATAATTTTTTATATATTTCTAAAAAGCATGTCTCATAATTACAAGGTGTTTAATATAGACTATTTTCATTTAATTTTCAAGTATATTTTACAGTTTTTTTAAATTTTACTTTGTTTCAGCTAATATAACTTTATAGAATTGAGAGATACTTTCAGTTCACACAGAATTATACCACACATAACTAAGCAAAGTTTCCCTTTCCTCCCAAAACAGCAGTGGCTGCTCTTTCAGACAATAGGCCGAGACTGCTGATGGGAACCCTAGCAGAGAGAGCCTAACTCGACAGAGGAAGGCCTCGCGAACAGTACTCAAAACAATAATTAAATTCTAGAAAACGGCAAAGGCATTTGCCTTTTTAAAAATCAAATGGAAAATAAAATAAAACAAACCCTCTGTGAACATCGCTCTGGTCATCCTTAAGAGCTTTCCCAAATTTCAAACGGATCAGTTATTAGCGATTCTTAATGCATGAGGTCGTCATTTAAGAATAAATCTTCGGTAATTCAAAACAAGGACTCTTCAGTAAATAGTTGAAATTCAGGGGGGAGTTGGAGTCATCTGGTCTCCATTAGGATGATAAAACAGTTCACGGAAACCCTTTCCAATCGGCTTTGTTACCGCCAAGCGTCTGTGCATTTCACTCCATCACCAGCCATTTGACACAACATAAAAAGCTTCAAAAGCCACGTTAGGCCTCTTAATCAAAAACTAATTGTAATAGATATTGGGGAGTGTTAACACGGTGACCGCTAGGTTGTAGCTGTGGTATAGAGGCGGCAGTGAACATTAAACACAACCCTGGGCTGATAGGGCTTATCTCAATTTTAGAGCTAAGTGCTAAGTACTGCAGGCCAGTATCTCTTTGCTGTTGCTTTGTTCCACTTTTGGAGTTAATTGCCCCATAAGGCTTCATCTTCCTAATGAAATTTATAACGATGTCAGGGAACTTGGAAGATACTGCTGCAGTTCGGGAGACTTTACAGAAAGCAGAAACATAAACATGAGAGGAAATGAAAACACATCCTTGAGCCCAACACATCTGCAGCCTGGGCAGGGGAGGTGCAGGACTCCCCAGGCACACGGGAGGCATCTGCAGCACATTAACTCTTTCAAGCCTGTAACCAAATACTCACGCAGTGCACGCTAATGGGAAGGTAACCACTCGTATCACCGGGTCAGTGGAAGGCATTTGATAAATACCCAATAAATACAAGGTAGGACGTCCAGCCAGCAAGGCCTGGAGTCTTTGTTGTCTGTGCCTAACCTGGTGTCTGAACAATCGGTGATGGAACAAATGATCTTACTGGAGCACACCAGTTCAGGGTCTTCAGAGAGCTCTCGTGTTTGGTCTGCACAGCCTGAGGCTTTGTTCATGACTGATCCTGGTCTCCAGCCAGCACTTGGTGGCTCCATTGCCGTCTCTGAGCTTCAGATGCCTGGAGAGATGCCCTTCGTCCACTCAGCCTTCTACGTCCAGCTAAGGAGGAAGCCAAGAGTTAACAACTACAGGTGGTTTTAGATCTGGAACGAAAACTTAGAAGAAAAACTTATGAAATCGGATAAATTCTGAGGTTTAGTTAATAGTATAAATCTTAATTCTTCTGTAACTCTAAAGATATTTCAAAGCAAAAAGTTCTTGAAAATAACTAATTTACTTTTAAAATGATATTATTTTATTTTGCCAAGTTAGCATTAACATAATTCTAAGTGAAAACAAAGTATCATTTTTCAACTAACTAGTTGAAAATTAGAGCAAAGGTAACATAATTTATTTTTCTACTTTATGTTCTTGTGTTTTATACTGTGTTTTACTAACCTCATTTATTTGAAAGGCAGAGTGACAGAGAGACATAAAGAGAGAGAGATCTTCCATCTTCCCGTTCATGACCCAGATGCCTGCAACAGCCAGGGCTGGGCCAGGCCAAAACCAGGAGCCTGGAGCTCCATCCAGCTCTCCCATGTGAGTGGCAGGGACTCAAGTATTTGAGCCATCATTTGCTGCCTCCCATGCATATTAGCAGGCAGCTGGATTGGAAGTGAGGGAGCTGAGACTCAAAACAGACACTCTGATACAGGATGGGGGTGTTCCAAGTGGAGGAGGTTTACCTACTAGGCCACAATGCCTGCCATCATATTATGTTTTTGTATTCTGGTTAGGTGGAGTTGTTTTCTTTTTTTTTTTTTTTAAGATTTGTTTATTTATTTGAAAGGTAGAGTTACAGAGAGGCAGACAGAGAGAGAGAAGTCTTCCATCCACTGTTTCAGTCCCACAGATGGCTGCAATAGCTAGAGATGAGCTGATCTGAAGCCAGGAGCCTGGAGCCTCTTCTGGGTCTTCCACATGGGTCAGAAGCCCAAGGACTTGAGTCATCTTCCACTGCTTTCCCAGGCACAGTAGCAGGGAGCTGGGTCAGAAGTGGAGCAGCTGGGAATTGAACTGGCACGCATATGGATGTCAGCACTGCAGGGGATGGCTTTACCTGCTACACCACAGTGCCAGCCCCATGGAGTTGTTTTCTAATTAATGCATAAAAGAAGCAAAATCTTTATACCATTATTTTCCTGTTTGTAAAGTTATTAATATTAAAAATAAATTAAGGGGTGGCCGTTTGGCCAGGCAGTTAAGACACCTACATCCCAAATCAGAGTACTTGGGTTTGATACTCAGCTACCCGATAATGAAAATGCTAAGAGACAGCAGTGCTGGCTCAAGTAGTTTGGTACCTGTCCCCCATGTGGGAAACATGGGTGCAACTCCAGGCTCCATGTATCTTCTCAGACCACGGAGGAATAAAACTAGCAATCAATAACATGAACAATAGAAATTTCACAATTACATGGAAGCTAAACAACATGCTACTGAACGAACAGTGGATCATTGAAGAAATTAAAAAGGAAATTAAAAATTTTCTTGAAATGAATGAAAATGAAAACACAAAACGTAAGAACCTGTGGGATACAGTAAAAGCATTATTAAGAGGGAGCTTCATAGCAATAAGTGCTTACATTACAAAAATAGATCTCAAATAAGCAATCTAATTATGCCTCTCAAGGACTTAGAAAAACAAGAACAAATCCCCGATTTTATAGAAGGCAAGAAATAGTAAGAATCAGCCCAGAATAAACAAAATTGAAACTCAAAAAAATCAACAAAATGAAAAGCAATTTTATGAGAGGATAAACAGACAAACCTTTATCCAGACTAACAAAGAAAATAGAGAAAAAATTCAAATGAACAAAACTAAAGATTACAATGGAAGACATTACAACTGATACCATAGAAATACAAATGATCAGAGGGAACTACTGTGAACAAATATATGATAACAAATTGGAAAATCTCCAAGAAATGGATAAACTCCTAGATGTATATAACCTACCATGATTAAATGAAGATGTTGAGAATCTAAAAAGACCCATTACAAGCAATAAGATTGAAGCAATAGTTAAGTCTCCCATGAAAGAAAAGTTCAGGAACCGATGGCTTTACTACTGAGGTCTATAAAGCATTTAAAGGGGAACTCCCCTACTTTCCAAACTATTGAAAAGGATGGAGCTCTGCTGAACTGACTCTATGAGGCCAGCACCACTCTGAAACCAAATCCAAACAAAGACATTACACAAAAAGAAAACTACAGACAGATAAATGCCTTTCATGAAGATAGATGCAAATATTCTCAACTAAATTTTATCAAACCAAATCCAACACTACCTCAAAAAGATCATATATGGGGCCGGCGCTGTGGTACAGCGGGTAAAGCCGCGCCTGCAGTACCAGCATCGCATAAGGGTGCCGATTCAAGTCCCGGCTGCTCCACTTCCAATCCAGCTCTCTGCTATGGCCTGGGATAGCAGTGGATGATGGCCAAAGTCCTTGGGCCCCTGCACCCGAGTGGGAGACCCAGAAGAAGCTCCTGGCCCCTGGCTTCAGAACGGCACAGCTCCAGCCGTTATGGCCAGTTGGGGAGTGAACCAGTGAATGGAAGACCTCTCTCTCTCTCTCTCTCTCTCTCTCTGCCTCTCCTTCTCTCTTGGTGTAACTCTTTCAAGTAAATAAATAAATCTTTAAAAAAAAAAAAAAAGAGATTACATATCACCAGCAAATGAGATTTATCCCGGAGATGCAAGGGTGGTTCAACATTTGCATATCAATAAATATCATAAATCACATCAACAGACTGAAGGACAAAAACTATGACAACCTCAATGGACACAGAAAAAGCATTTGATAAGAGTCAACTTACTTCCATTTCACCAAATTCAAATTTCTGACATGGACATCTGTGCTGACCTGAATCCAAACAGCTGCAGGACTGGTCAACCAGGAGAATTCAGCGTAATCACAAACCACTTCTCCCCTCAGTTTCACTGAGGCATCGCAACCTTGGCAAATGCCTGCTGCTGCCGCCATCTCTCCCGTTTCAGTCCAACCACAGCCCCCTCCTGGTGAAGCCCTTCACTGGCACCAGAGCCACCCTCACCTAAACTTCAACTACAACTCCAAGAAACGCCACCTGAAACTCTGCTCTTGCCGTGGCTGCACTTTCTATTAGCTATTCACACACGTGACAAACTCTTTCTCGACACTGTCAAGTCCCGAAAGATAATGACTGTGCTGATTTATCCTCAGGGCCTCAGAATTGCTCGTCTGGAACCACTTGAACCTCATAGAGCCATGGAAAGAAAAAAAAAAAAATCAGTGACATGACACCAAAGATATTATTCTAGAAATTAGAAGCTTGGCTTTAGTGCTTTAAAAGTGGCCAAAATAACCATAGCCAATATGTAGTAGAGTTTACTTCTCTCTGAGATCAGACCCTTTTGGAAGGTTCTACTCCCTAAGCTGGCCCAACAACTCAGCTTCCCACGGTGGTGCTCTTGTTCAAAGATGGCCCAACAGTTCGCATGCATAAAATGGGAAGGAGGCATTACAAAGCCACCAAATTCCTTCAAAGGTCACACAGGGCAGCTTCACACAACCATTTCATTCTTAAACTTTAATCCAGAACGTAGTCAAATGCCTACACGTACCTGCAGGAGGAGCTGGGAAACAGTCTAGTTCAATGCCCTCATGCTTACCTAAAAGAGATAGGAGAAGAGGGGATCAAAGGGCAATTCTAAATTCCTGCCACAGACTTTACATTGTAGAAATTCCCCTCCTAAGGTGCTTATTCTTATGTACTTTTTTCTACAAAGTATATTCTTATTGTTATAACAGTATTATTGAGTTACAATTTAGAAAACATGGAATGTATGCTTTTAACGTGTGCAATTCAATGGTTTTCAATATATGCACAGAGATATGCAGCAATCACCACCATCTAATTTCAGAACACTTCCATCTCCACAAAAACAAACTGTGCTGTTCACAATGATTCCCTGTTCTCCCTTCCCCAACTCCTGGCAACTCTTAACCTAATTCCTGTCTCTATGAATTTGCCTGTTCTGGACATTTCATATAAATGGAATCACGCAATACGTGGCCCTAAGTGTCTGGCTTCTTTCATTTAGTAGAATGTTTTCAAGGTTCATCTATGTTGTAGCATATATTGCTATTTCATTCTTAGGACAAAATAATACCCGTTGTGTGGAGGAACAGCATTCTTCGTATGCAGTTGATGGACTTTTAGTTCCTTCTACTTCTTGATGATTATAAACAATGTGGCTAAGAACATTCCTGAGGATATTTTTGTGTGAAAATACATTTTCAATTTTCTTGGGTATACACAAAATCATGAAATTACTAGGTTATATGGTAACTCTATGTTTAACATTTTGAGAAACCTCCAAAATGGTTTACAAAGTGGTTACACCATTTCACAGCTCCACCAGCTATGTATGAAAATTCCAGTTTCTCTACTTACTCATCAAGACTTGTTACAGTGTGTATTTTTCAATTTTAGCTATCCCAGTGAACGTGTAGTAGATTCTCAATTTGCATTTTACTAAACACTAATGATATTGAGGATCCTTTCATGTGCTTATTGGCCATTTGTATATGTTCTCCCAAGAAAAATGACTGTCCAAATCCTTTGCTCATTTTGATTTGGTTATGTGTCTTTTTGTTATTCCATTGTACTTCATGTACTCTAAACGCGAGTACCTAACTAGATGTATGAAATGAAAATATTTCCTCCCATTTTGTGGGTTGTGTTTTATTTTCTTTTTAAAAGTTTTTGTCTGTTTATTTGAAAGGGAGAGACAGAGATCATATCCATTGATTCACTCCCCAAATGCCCATAAGAGCATGGGCTCCCCTGGGGGAGGCTGGCATCCTAATTGGTGTCTTCACCACTATGCCAAACAGCTGACTTATTTTCTTTTTTTCTTTAATTTACCTATTATTTTACAATTTGGAGAATATAAAGATATTATCTTCCTCCGTCCCTCCCACTCTTCACTCCCTCTCTCTCCCTTTCTCTCTTTCCTTCATTCTTTCTTTTTTCTTCCCTTTTTGTTTTTTCTTTCTTTCTTTGTTTTTTCCTTATTTTACTTTTTGAGATAATGTATTTTTAGCTTACATTACAGTCAAGGCCTAATGCTCCACTAAAAAGTAAAAAGTAGATACGTGGGAATATAGGGAATAAAGATGACCATTACAGTAAAATTTTAAAGTAATCACAGATCATTAAATCTATAGCAGTATAATATTCTTAACCATTGATTTGACAAAGATATAAAAAAGTTTGATAAAAAAACTATGTGCAGCAACAGTGATACACACAGGCATTTCTTTCTTTTCTTATTTTTTTTAATTTGAGTACTCATATTTAAGGTAGAACATGTGGTTTTGTCTTTCTATGTCCAGCCTATTTCATTCAACATGATGTCAGTTGCATCCATTTTGATGCAAATGGTGGAATTTCATTCTTTTTATAGCTGAGTAGTATTCAGTTGTGTGTACATATATATGTATAAAATACACAGACACATATATAATACAAATATAACATTTTCTTCATCCATCCATCTAATGATGTACACTTTGGTTGATGACGTATTTGGCTATTATGAACAGTGCTGCTATAAACATAGCAGTGCAGATATCTCTTTGACACAACATGTTCATTCTCTTGGGTATATATCCAGTAGTGAAATTGCTGGATCATATGGCAAGTATATTTCTAGTATTTAAGGATTAAATTTAATAAATTAAGAATTTAATCTCTATACTGTTGGCCACAGTTTGCCCTATTTTTTAAGACTTATTTATTTATTTGAAAGACAGAGTTTTATATATATAGAGAGAGAGATCTTCCTTCTCTGATTTACTCCCTAATGGCTGGAGGTGGGCCCATCTGAAGCCAGGAGCTTCTTCTGGGTCTCCCACGTGGGTACAGGGGCCCAAGCACTGGGGCTATCTTCCGTTGCTTTTTCAGGCACACTAGCAGGGAGCTGGATCAGAAGTGGAGCAACTGAGACTTGAACCAGTGCTCATAGGATGCCGGCACTGCAGGAGATGGATTTACCCACTATGCCACAGTGCTAGCCCTCGCCCTAATTTCTTGATGCTGTCTTTGAAGTACAAAAGTTTTTCACTTATATAAATTTGCCTGTTTTTATTTTTTTGCTTTTGTTTTTGGTGTATATCTAGAAAAACATTACCTAATTCAGTTTTATGGTTTTAGTTCTTATATTTAGGTCTATGATCCATTTTTTAAAAAGATTCATTTGAAAGGCAGAGTTACAGAGAGACAGAGGCAGAAAGAAAGAAAGAGGTCTTCCATCCACTGGTTCATTTCCCAGATGGGCCCAACAGCCAGAGCTGGACTGACCCAAAGCCAGGAGCCAGACGCTTCTTCTGGGTCTCCCCTGTAAGCACAGGGGCCCAAGGACTTGAGCTATCTTCAAATGCTTTCCCAGGCTATAGCAGAGAGCTGGATTGGAAGTAAAGCAGCCAGGACTCTAACGTGTACCCATATGGGATGCCAGCACTACAGGTGGCAACTTCCACCCACTAAGCCATAGCACTGGCCTCTATGATCCATTTCGAGATAATTTTTGGATACACGGTGGAGTAGGGAGTCTAAATTTATTCTTTTGCAGGTGGATTTTGAATTGTTCCAATTTTTTGAGGCGACTACTCCTCTGCCCACTTATTTTGGCCCCCTTGTCAAACATCCATTGACTATACATGTGAAGCTTTATTGCTAGATTCTCAATTCTATTCCATTGATCCAAATATTTATCTTTAGGCCATCATCACACTATCTTGACTACTATACCTTTATAGTAATTTTTCAAACTGAGAATTATGAATATTGCAACTTTGTTCTTCTTCAAGATTGCTTTGTTTGGGTTATTCTGGGTCCCTTGAGTTTTCATTTAAATTTTTAGGAACAGCTGGACAAGCCACAGAAAAAAAGCAACTTGCTTTTTAAAAGGGATTGTATTGAATCTGTAGACCATTTTAGGGAGTTTTGCCATCTGAACAATATTAAGTTTTCCAACTCACAAACACAGGATTTCATCCCAATTATTTAGTTCTTTGTTAATTTCTTTCAGTAATGCTTGGTAGCTTTTAGTTTATAGATCTTAACTTCTTTGTTAAATGTATTCCTATATATTCTATTCCTTTCATTGTCAGATTGCTAGTATTACAAATGGAATTTGTTCATTGCTATTTTTATTATTAATTTTTGCATATTAGTCTTGTATTCTACAACTTTGCTAAACTCATCTACTACTTCTAATAAGAACTTAATGGCTTCCTTGGGATTCTCTGTGAATAAAGTTCATGTCATCTTCAAACAGAAATACTTTTATTCCTTCCTTTCCAGTCTGGGTGGGTGTTTTTTGTATTTGTAAAGTCTTCCTGATGGACTGATCCTTTTATTATTATAAATTGTCTTCTTTGTCTATAGTAACAACTTTTGTCTTTAAGTCTATTTCATCTGAATTAACAGAGCCACCCCAACACTCCTTTATTTACTGTTTGCCCAGTGTGCTTCCATCCTTTCACTTACAATCTATTTGTGTCTTTGAATCTGCAGTGTGTCTCCTTCGGTGGGCATTTGTTCTAGCAGTTAGGACTCCCACATCCCATATCTGAGTACCTGGGTTCAATACTCAGTTCTGCCTCCTGATTACAGTTTCCTGCTGCTGCAGAACCTGGGAGTCAGCAGTGATAGTTCAAGTCACTGGATTCCTGCCATCCACATGGGGGACTGGGATTACATCCTAAAAGACTCCCTGTGGTACTTCTCTTGGGGCAGTTCTGCTGGTTACATTGTCACAGTTTTGCTTCCCTGGGAATAATGCTTTTCTCCTTTTGTTTTTACAGGATAGTTGCATTGTGTATAAAATTCTGGGTTGACAGCTTTTTGTTGTTCCTTTGAATATGCAAATCATTGCCCTTTTCCCTTCATGGTTGCTGACAAAAAGTCAGCTGTTAATCTTATTGATTATCCCATGATTCTCTTGTTGTTTCCAAGATCCTCCCTTCGTCTTTTGACAGTTTGTGATATTCCCAGGTGTGGTTCAATTTGACTTTGTTCTACTTGGATTCCACTGAGATTTTTGAATGTGCATTTTAATGTTTTCTTTTTCATATTGAGGAAGGGAGTTCTGTCATTATTTCTTATATTCTTTTATCCCTCTTTTCCCTCTCTTCTTCTTGTGTGACTCCCATTATGTGTATTGAGTACATTAAATAATGACCCACAGATTTCTGAGTGTCTGTTCATTTTCATTCACTCTTCTTTCTTTTTGTTCCTCAGACAAGAAAGTCTCAATTGAACTACTTTTAGGCTTACTAATTCTTTCCTCTGTCAGTTCATACCTGATGTTGAGTATTTCTACCAAACCTTTATTTCAATTATTTTATATTTCAATTCTAGAATCACTATTTTTTTCTTTCAAAAACAGTTTCTGAACACCGAAATTCTTTATTTAGTAAGACATCAGTTCCATATCTTCCTTTAATTCTTTGAATGTGCTTCTCTTTGGTTCTTGTAACTTATGTGAGTAGTTTACTTAATACTTTTGTATCACTAAGACCATCACCTGGGCTTCTTCAGTACAGTTTCTATTTGCTGATATTTTAATTGTTTCTTTTGTTGAAAACTGGACATTTTGTT